TGTATACGTAGAAGAGCTGTCAACACAATCTGCACATCTTGTAGAAGTTGTCTAATATTGCTAGTGTTTTGATAAGTATGCAGTAAGTAAAAATACAATAACAAGTATAAAAAATAAAATAAAACCTTTTCTTTTTTTGTTTGTAAACGGTATTTTCCATAATAACGTTGTCTGAGTCTGCGTCTAAAAATAGAATTTTGCAACCAAACAAAATGCAGGGATTTATCGTCAGAAAAAACATAATGGCAAAACTGTATTTGCTACAGTGTTGTTTTCAAAACATACACTAACATATAAAAATGAGAAAGTGTTCCTATATACGAGATATAAACTAAAGAGTCAATTCACACACCCATAATAAAATCAGTGTACATCCGAAGTGTGTTGGTTTTGATTTATATTACTAACAAAATCTCCTCTGTGACGTAATCAGCCGCTGTAGTGTAATGGTGAAGGTGCGATGCTCTGGAGGTGTAGTTTTGCCGTGGCGAGTTCAAATCGCGGGCACACACCATATTATTTTTTATTCTTATTTTTTTTCTATAACTTTCACCTCAATTATTCTCGATTTTAATAGTTATATTCATCAATAATGTACTGATAGAATTAATAATTATAAATATTAGAATATTTTCAGGACGTTATATCATGTTGCTACATGTATTTTTCCATATAAATATCCTTGCATTCTAATACAAACAATTATATCTGCATCGATAGTCTTGGTGTTACAAATATTTCTTTTGGATATATTGTAACTCTTACATCGCGTTAGATGTCATTTTGCTGAATTGTTATCGACCTAGGGTAGTTTTTTTTCTATATATATTTTTTGCGTCGGACTTACTTTTGCTAGCATCAAATAATCAGCATATACGTGCAGAAACTAAAGTGTTAATTCTTATGGGCTAGGGTATAATTTCTCTCATTTATACTATTGTAAAATTAATACGATGAAAAATCTTACCATGTATATTTTCTTTTGAAGAATCCCAGTAACATAACGATCCTGAGGACCTGAATTCAAATATTTTTATGGATACATTTGATTCAGAAATTAAACGTAAGTCTTCTGCTTTGTAAGTTTCGTCAGCACAATGAATCGAACATTATTATATTGTGGCTATTTGATATTTTTGACCTAGCTTCATTTTTGGCTGCAGTTAGTTTATTGGCTTGTATATTTCGGAGAACTCTTGTTATAATGGCACATCCCTGAATAACTAAATGAAGTATATACATGTACATGCTTACATGTATATATAAACGTGTTTATATGCTCCAGATATACTGTATAGCCAGTATCAATGCTACATGTACTGTTACCAAAAACAAATTACGGGAAACATACGAAACACTGGCTTGATATATATTTTTTTAAAACAGATTGACACTGGCATAATATACATTAGCTACTCTTTAAAATAAAGTTTTGTAAAAATCAGATTTTTCACCGAACTTAAGATTTAATAGATTATTTATTTTCATTATTTTCATTCTTTAAGGTTTACTAGTGATGTAATAGGAGACAGAGAGTAGCGAGAAAATGCCTGGAGATTCTTGAAGTTACATGTAAGTGTTTTAGGAAGTTCCTGAATTAATCTTATTTCTATGCTTCAAATTGTTAAGTAACAGAAATCTGAAATACTTGGAGGAGAATTCTCTCATTATCATGTTTATTTCCGTTTCAACTACAATATTTTATTTTAAAAAAGGTGACTGATATATGTATTGTAATAAAAACAGGTTTTTTTTCTATTATACATGTGTTTAATGTAATTGTCACTGTCTGTCTCCCTCCAATTGTTTGTCCAGTCTTTCCTTGTTGGCTATTTATGAAAAACAATGATAAACATTTTCGATTACTTCATATGAGTCCAGCTACCAGCTTCTAAAATAGCTATTATTTTATTATTTCATACAGTATATACTGTATAATAAAGCAATTATTGACTTCTAGTAAAGTAATACAAATATTTAACACCTAGTCAAAGCAATGCTCATATCTGACTCGGGTCCCTGTTAACACATCAATTTACATGTTTGATAAATCATTGTAATAACATTATGAAGATCAGTATTGCATGATACACTGTATAAACAACAAGTGATGGATACAATGTTTCATATTTATTCAACATACAATAAGTAAATGCCCAGACGCCCTTTAGTTTCTGATGTTTGGGACATATTTTAATATAGTTAGTATCTATTTGTTTAGGATGCCTGGAAAGGGAGAATTTCGGTGTGTTGTTTGTTCTAAGAGAACAAAACCTGGGGACAGGCGCTTCACTAAAGGCAAGGAAAACTCTTCACTAAGAAAATATTTGTTGAAAACATATATGATACAAACAAAAGAAGAAGATGTCATTTGTGGAAAGTGTCGTATGTCATGTCATCGCTCAATACTACAGCGTCGTACACACATCGCTCAACACCACTCTTCAGTTGAAGCCCCTTGTAATAAATCAACAAAGAACATCCTTTCATCGCCGCGGAATATTACACTTTCAATCCCATCCACTGGAAGTAGCCACAAAAAATGTTTTGTATGCAATACTTACCCAAAGAAACTGGTGGTAATATCTCGTGACGCGAAATACGACCTCTTCCTGCAAAAAGGGGTTTTAGTTCCGTTCGGAGCAAGATGTTGTAGTCATCATATCGAGGATGGTCTATTGCAAAATGATGCTTGTGAAAACATTGCTATAAAAAGTGACCTATCTTCTCTTAATCGTACTGAAATAGTGGCATTGATTTCTAAGATTAGAGATGTAGCAAATACACAGCAAAGCAAACGCATTGACTTTGACTCACCGCATGCCCTTTCGAATGAAGATTTCATTACACTAACTGGACTATGTACACAGCATTTTAACGATTTGTGTACTCACTGTGCTGGTTCTGTGCGATCTTCAGAATAGGAGCATTAAATCTTGTGTCGGCATCTTTCTTACTAAACTAAAAAGTGGCATGTCAAATAAAGTCCTATCAACAGTTTTTAACATTGGAAAAGATTCTATTCGACGTGCAGTAACATCGGCAAGAGTTGCACTAGCGAAAGACTTTGTTCCATCAAATCTGGGATTTCAGCATGTAAGTCGACAAGATGTTATACTGAAACACACAAGACCACTCGCCCAAACATTGTTTGGAGGACTTATGGAACCAGCCATTCTTGTAATTGATGGCACCTACATTTATATACAAAAGAGTGGCCAATTTATGTTCCAAAGGAGGAGTTACAGCATGCATAAGCACCGGCCGTTGGTAAAACCTATGATGTTTGTCACCACAACAGGTTACATAGTGTCCGTGTTAGGTCCCTATTTTGCCGATTCCAAAAACAATGATGCCAGCATCCTGAATCAGATTTTAAATTCCAACATTCAAGAAATCAAGGAGTGGATTCAGGAAAATGATGTGTTTGTGGTTGACAGAGGCTTTAGAGATTCCATGGACCTCCTACAACAGCTAGGAATACAAACAGAGATGCCTTCTTTTTCCAAGCAAAGGAAACAGCACACTACCGGAGAAAGCAACGCTTCCAGGCTTGTTACTAAAATAAGGTAAGGTCTCTCTTTGTTCTGAGTAACATTTTACTAACTTTACCAATTGCTTTTACAACATATTTATAACTTATTTGTATTAATATATCATTAAAATGGTTAAAGGTAATTCCCAGTGAGAATTAGATACTTTCGATTTTATAAGTTGAACTGCATAAACCTGTCCATTTAGAAGATGTCGAAATTGAAAACAAAATTTATTTGATATAGTTACCATCATATGCATTTGAATACTGCATTTATTCACATTCAAAATGCATCTATTTACTATTTTTCAGATGGGTCGTTGAGGCTGTGAATGGACGGTTAAAAACCTGGAAATATTTGGATCGTGTGTTGCCAAACTCACAGATTCCATACATAGGCGATATTGTCAGGATTGTGTGTGCAATCTTCAACAAGTTCGGTACACCAATAAGCACGGGGGATGCAGAGCAAGATCAACTGCTAGGATCGAAAATGTTGCATTTGTCACGGAAGCAGAATTCTCTTTGGGAGAGAATTGAACGAGAAGGCCTTTTCAATCGACCTAGTAAGTGGCAGAAGATGGAGACCACAACTGATATCATATTTCCTGTTCTGACAGAAGAAGACCTGCGGAATTTGACACTGGGAGTGTATCAGCTCAAACTGGCACGGTCCTACACACAGGAACATATGAGCGAAACGGGAGGATATGAAGTATCTATCTGTAAAGTAGATGCTAATCTGATCAATGCCAAGATACAGAGCCGACATTTTTCCTCAAAACTTTACCAATTGTGGGTATCATTTGATGATTGTAATGTGCAAGGATGGTACTGTACATGCCGTGCTGGGGCGAGGGTGGTTGGGACTTGCTCCCATGTTGCATCCATCTTATGGTATATGGGATTTGCACGTCATTTAGACAAGTCCTTTGACTTTAGTAAGGACTGGACACAATATTTACAAGATGCCAGTTATACACCAGACCCAATCAGTATTGATGAGAGTGATGATGAAGGTAACACGGAGGAATAAAACAGCACAGCTTTACCGATGTAGCCATGTAAATTACATATAAATTTCGGAATCTCCAAAAATGTAATTACAAATGCACGATGGTCACTTGATCGACTGAGGAATTGGCTTTAATCTCGAATGACAATGTATTTTGTTAGTGCATAATGTTTATTTGAAATAACTTTTAACTTTTGTAAGAATCATTAACTGTAACATGTTTGATTTCATATCCTTTTCAAATTAACCAAGAATATAAAGATAACCGTGTACGGAAGTATTGACAAATTGATGTACTGATTATTGCATGTACTGTTGCTATGGTGAAATATTTAGTTGCTATGGTAAGACATGGTTACTGTGGAATACCACCTATATGCTCTATTGTATCATCATATTTACATTTTTAAGATGTATCATAATCTAAACAGCCCTTGAGTATTATCATCAATTTTCTGTGTCCATTATTGTATTTATTACAATCCGTTGCTATGGAGAGAGTTTGGTTGCTATTGTGTTGCTAGGAAATCTTAAACATGTAATATATGATGGTTGATCACAAATATGATATGATTTTTAAATCATACCATTGATATGTAAAAATTGATTAAATATTTTCACCAAATAATAAAAAAAACAGTGAAATATCACTAAAATGTGCAAATAGACGGTAAAGAGTAGGTTGGTTTCCAGGCCCGTTGCTAGGCAACGCATTGTCAGAATTATTGAAAACTTGTTTTTTTATCAATGTCATATGTCCATGTTTGCATGATATAAAAATTAAGAAAATCTATGCTGGGGCCAAAATTGATCCTTAATGCATCTACTCCTTTATTATTATTATATATAAACAAATATATTTGATTCCTTTATTTAACAGTTATTAACAGTTTTCTGAACAGTTATCAGAACTTGATTTTCTGATTTACCCGTTCAAGTTACCTGTACAACAATTCAGCACCAGACTATAACTCACTATCATCACAACTGACCTCCTATTTAAACATATTGTCGTAGGCAGAGTCCTGACCAATAGTCTACCTTTAATTAGGTAGTGTGCTCCCTTGCGTAGTGGCCAGCGAAGATTATTCTGAAGTCGGTGACGCTAATTCGATAATTGGACTATGTACTCACCTAGTTAAACTTTGATTGTGTGGCCAGGGGTCCGGCCTTATAAATCTGACATATATAGCAAGATAACATATGATCTGCCTAGCGGGATCTCTGAAATCTGGAGATTCCCCCAATTTTTATCCATACGACCGAGAGGAGGGGGAGGGTAGTGAGAATCGGGAAACTCCCGATTGAATCCGGAAAGTTGGCCTGTATGCTCATTGCCCTGTCTTAACGCTTATGAATATAGGCAGAATATGCCTATGACAGTGAGGTTCTCGAAAATAATCCAACACTGTAAGTAATTGTAAAAGTACGTCCAATCAATTATCCTCTAACCTTTGTGTTTGACAATTTATTTTTTATTGCTTTTCGCCAGGTCGCCTTTTACACGATTTTGCCCACTTGCCTTCTAGACTATATTACTAAAATACAAACATGGCTACATAATCATAATTCAAACTCAGATTTCATAAAACTTGGGTAAAATAAAAACAAAAGAAAGATTAACACGGAGATTCTTGAAAAAGAACAAGGATAATAAGACCAGGTGTTCCGGAAGAGCAAGCTTCTTCTACTTCATCGACGACACCGTCATGTAACTGAGAACAATTTATACAACAACAGAACCAACAGACAAACTAACGAGCATCAAATACGTCCAACGTCATGTCGCACAAAATATTTCTCAATGGTATCACTATGGCGACCATAAAACTTCCTCATAATTTTAATCAACCTGCATCTTTTTAACCCTTGTGTCACGAGTTTGTCAGTTTGTTGACGACTTCTTGCACGAAAATCGTGATAATGGGAACAGGCCCTTGAATATCGAATCAATTGTGACTTGTAAATATCATCAACGCCTTCTAGATTATTTTGCCAACTTACTTTCTAGACTATTTTGTCAAATAGGCTTCCAGATTAAGTTGCCAACTTGCCTTCTTGTTTAGTTTGCCAACTTGCCTGCTAGATTATTTTGAGGATTTGCCTTTTACATTATTCATTCATTCGACGCATATCACATTGAGAAAATCGATAATGACGAAGCAGCTGTCATATGCAGTATAACTATTCAGTGTATGTGGTATCTAAATATGCAATGTTAACGGTCAATATGGAAACTCTGTGTTTATACGTTTCACGCGAGACATCCTAGAATAACGCACCTAAGTATTGATGAAATGGGATCACACAAAAATGTGCTTGTTATATATGGTATTTCGTTCAGTCTAGCCAGTTATTTTACAAATGTTACAAAAACCAAAAATAATTAACGAATTCTAAGATATATCTTAACTGCACTAATTTAATATGTAATTTTGGGAGATAATGAATAATTACACGACATGATGACCGTGTCAAATTAATAAGTACAGTAATAAAATCTCCAATTTAATTATTCTTAATGGATAGCTACTCTTTCATTATGTTCCATGAAGAATGTTTGTTAATTTCTATGAAAATTGTGCCTGAAGCCAATCAGATAAGGCGTTTCGTTTTCCTAAATATGTACTGGTGTTCAGTTATAGTTAGTACTCTTTTTAACTGTACCGGTATGTGTGTGGTGTAGTTGACGCCATAACTTCATTGCTTAAGAAGATACCTGTACCTTCGAATGACATTGTTATAGAGATTGTAAATGTCTATCGAACAAAAAGACGCTTCATCTGGTTTAAAATGGTTTGTATCTTGTGCATTTGCTTATCATATATATAAAAGTATTAGTTTTAATTGTGTTTCATAGCAACATCACAATATCGGGGAAAGTAAAGATCTGTAATTATGTGAACATAAGTATTTTTAAGACAGAGAATGAATGATCTTTGAAATAATTTAGGTGCAAAATACGCTGAATCATTATTTGTGATTCCGTTTAAAAATTTAAGTAGACCTGCATTGTTAGCGATGGGAAATGCTTCGAAAAATCAAATATTACATATGCATACTGTGTTTTTATGTCCATAAAATATGCTTTCTTTTATAATATCTTGTCTATGTGAATATATAAAATTTTGTATAAAAGAGTTTTAGATTAGAAAGTATTGATCTGGTCGATTTCAAAGAGAAATGAGAATATCAAGTAACGATTATTAGATTTATATCAAGATATTGTACGTTTTTAAGAATGATGGAGTATACCCTATTTGGGTTACGTCACCAATATCTAGGTATATTGTTTTTAACTAAATGCTAAAAACAACTATTTCAACATCCGATTCAAAGCATTCCTATTTGGAATTTACGGATTTGGTTGTGGCCGTCAATTCCAAAGAAATTCTGAAGAATGTCTCCGGCATTGTTTACAGTGGTGATCTACTTGCAGTCATGGGTCCGACAGGTAAATATGTAATTGGTTATTACCCTAGTGCTCTACTGAAGGCAAACACCTTTCAATACAAATCTAGTAAATAAATCGTGGCTGTCAAATAATTAAGTTTTATTACAAAACTATGTTATATTTAATCGTATTGTATGATTTTGGTTCTTGACACATCCATAGTATTCATCAGAGAAACATATTTAGTCTCATATCATGATTTATTATTATCATTATTACTGATGATTTTTTTCCTAGGATCTGGGAAGACAACCTTACTTAATACATTGGCAGGTAGAATTCCAGCTGTTTCTGGGAGAGTAAATCTAAACGGAATGCCTTTTGACAAAGTGCTACGCCGTCGACTAGGTTACGTCATTCAAAGTGACGTGTTTTTGCCTTCTCTGACGTTATGGGAGACACTTTATGTAAATAGCATTATAATGGTATCATTATCTTAAATGTTGAATGTAATTTGTAATATGTTTAATAGAGATAGTGTTACAAAGAGGTCGATGGTAGCTGAAATGTTATATATATATATACTAATAATAATAACAGGAGACAGAAATAAAAAAAATATTAGATAAAGTAGCAACATACAAGTACGTACAATATTCTAATAGTACATTCTGGTTCGGGTAGGAAAAGGTTTGGGATCACCTGTCCTACCACGTGAACTCTTCCAGCTATAAGATCCCTCACGCTTCCACCCAGGTAAACAATAGCAATTAATATCAGTTAAAATAACTTGTTTCACATCTGTTTTAAAGAAATAAAGTTTAGGTTATGTAATATATCATGGATAAGTTGTACTTTTTGTTAGTTTACAGCAATGATCAGAATATCTGACAGATTCACCAAGGCTGAAAAATTGGAGAGGATGAACACCATAGTTAAGGCGCTTGGTCTTCAGAAATGTCTACATACAGGTATGTTATCGTTGTATACTTTTGAAAAGTAGCCCTTTAAACCTTCATTCTTTCATATTTTAATCCTGTTTCATTGTATTTTAAAGTGAACATATTTGGTATCTTCTTGTTTTTAAAGAACAATTTCTAGTGGAGATTTGCAATATATCGATAACCTAATTTGATGAAGATTGTGTTTTTTTCTGAAATTATGAGCGAATGATATAGATAAGAACAGAAACTATACTTTTTATGATGATTTCATAATAAAATGAAATTGGAAAGGATACTAAAGCGATATCGTCGTTTTGTTTATTTGGTACAATTACATTTTGATATGATAGTGAATTTCTACCGTTATTGGTTTTGCCTGGACATAAGCGATGTAACAAGCTTAAATCGGATGATTAGTTTTGAAGATTGAAAGATAAAAACATTCGTATAATTCCTTTACATTGAACATGTAAAAAGCATTCCCAGTTTTGCAAGTATGATAAGTTAATATAGTTTGGTTAATATTAGGGTTAATTAGCTAAATTAAAATGTTGAAGTGCACTCTACTATTTTTGTCTGTAATAGGATGACTCTAATTTAATCATTTCAGTCATATGTTGTTGTCATATTCCAACATAAAAATATGTTAATCGCCAATTTAAAATCAAATTGCTCATATCTTAATGGAGTACACGGGTATCTATCAAATTAAATATAAGTAGATATGAGAATGACATTGACTTTAATAGCAAAACCTGATGGGATCGAAAAGTCATATTGGGGGAATGTTGAGATAGCTTAAAATGTGTATTACATCATTTATTTAAGTTAAAAGTCGAAGAATACCTGGATATCAGTAAAAATATGTTCACCTTCACTACATATTGTATATATGTATATCAGAAGCGAGTAAAGTACACTGCCAATTATGTTTTGAATAGAAGTTACAAAATAGGCGTAATTGACATTTCGATGCAAATCAAACCAGTAAAACGGCTTTACACAGGTCATATTTCTGATGAAGATGAAAGTCATCATATATACCGTGATAACTTTTTGAAGACAATTTACAATCATCGATTTTTCGTGAGGTACCATTTTCATGGCGTAGGTTTCCTTAATTCATGAATTCATATGTCCATGAACTGATGAAGAAGTATTTAAAGATGTATGAGCTATGTTTATACTGGAAATCAAGAGTTCACGAAGTAGATCTTTTTTATTTTCTCGAAAATGTAGCTCCAAGGAAATATTCAATCATGCAACATAACAGCAACATAATGATTTATACATATTTGGACCGTTTATAAAAAGGGAAATGAATATGCACATGTAAATTAAAATGTACTTTTAAATTTAAGATTAAAAACGTTCCGTTGCATTGGCCTTGTCCTATATTTCGGGGGTAGATTGTGTTCACCCTTACATACCTGCTAAGTCATCCGATTTGTGCAGGTCACACCCGACTGATAACAATGACTCAATCGGGACCCGCTTTTCACAAAATCTCCAATTTATAGCCATGAAAATGAAACCTTCTCATAATACATTGATAATGTACAGTTCCAGTTACTGGTATCGCCAGTGAGGGTTATGGCAAACTCTCCCAACCCAGAAACAAGGTCACTTGTGTAGTACGTAGAGGAGATGTGATCATCATGTAATTGGCCAAACAGCTTTCGGGCAAGATAAGAATCTATCATTCGAAAACAAACACTGGTTATAACTTTCATTCCTTTGATATACATAACGAAAAGGTCTATGTGAATACATCGTAGCTGTCAGCTTGAACTGACCGCCATCTTACTTTCGTGATAAAAGAGTCGGAAAGCAGAATGAAAATTCGGATTTTAGCATACGTCCATAGAATGTGCAATTGGCTTGCTAAATATGATATAATGATACTGAAAAACAATCAATAGTAATCCTTTTTCACATGAGGAACTTTCTTGAAAAAAATGCAAATATCTCAATCTGTAATATCACATATAACTTCATTAAGTTGATCTCATTTACATAGTTTACTAATTATTGTTTATATTGTTTCATTATCTCCTTTATTACTTTTGCTTTGATTTTGGTAAAGTTTTCACATATTGAACGAAAGAAAAACCTATCTTTTACAAAATTGTTTATATACAATTTAATGGGTTTGAATCTCAGCATTTCAAATTATTTGTAGTGATTGAAACATCAGGAAAGTTGAGTATATCAGGAATGTCTGGAGGGGAGAAAAAGAGAGCTAGTATTGCGTGTGAGCTGTTGACGGACCCAGATATTCTCCTTTTAGATGTAAGTTGGATTTTAAAAACTGGAATCTGTCTTCGTCAGTTGTCATTTAACATTTCCTATTGTTTAACTTAACTTTTCAAATTTCTGTTACCCGGAAAAACTCAGTCTTAACTTCAGGAGTCAACAAGATTGACATATAAGCGAAATTTGCATGGATTTTCTCCCAATCTGGTCTGTTTTGATTTTTGTTTTGAAGTGTTTGCAGAACCTACAGCATATATGATGGTACTAATTATGCATTCGTTGACTATATAGTGTTATTCGCCCTGTGCACTGGTTAGATTCAAAACTATCAAAGATCAAACAGTCAAAACACACCACACTTAGGGTGAATCGATACTTTCTTCTGTCATGTTGGAGCTTTTGACTGTTCTACTTTCAGTTACAAGTCACATGGTAACCCTCCTTGTATATGTCTTCCTTAGAAATCGAAATTTCCTTAACCAAACAATATAATATTTTTCATGTTTGTGTGAAACTAATTACGTCTACATGTACCAACAAATCGTTTATTATGTATGTATTGACGCAAATTGGAGATAACCCAATGTCTATGATGCGAATAAGGTCGCAAAACTATGGGAAGGATTTCAAAAAATGCTGTACAGAGTATCTTGTATCATTTTTGACTAGCAAATAAGTTTTTCAAACTGAATAAACACTCATGCTGATCTAAACCTATAGCTGATTATGATTGTGGTTGTGGAATCGATAATTACTCTATTTCTCTGAAGTTCTACAATGATCGAATAATCTATGACTTTCATCAGATAACTTCAATTATAATATTTCAAATAGTCGTCTGATTTAACTCATCTCGAACTACAATTATCACAAAGGAACCAACCTCAGGTTTAGACTCCAGCACTGCATATACATTGATGGTCCAGCTGAAAAACTACGCAACAGAGTTCAATAAGACAATAGTAGCCACTATTCATCAGCCCTCAAGTCAAGTCTTTCACATGTTCTCCACCTTACTACTTCTTGTTGAAGGGGAGGTAGGTATACTTAGAATGTAATCTCAATTTGAATTAAGTCAAAACCTTGAAGAAATTAGAACAAGCAAAGGTTATCCCCTCGTTTACATCCATGAGTATGTTAGCATGAGTAGGCTACCCCGACAGTATAGCTACTGACTAATCAAGATTATGTCATATGAGAAAAGTTCTTGATTAATATTGTGACCTTAGGTCTGTGAGAAACATAACATATTACAGACAGGCACAGAACCAAAAGTCGTGGATCGTTACCTGAAATCGCATCAGACCAAACTGCTATCGCGCACTCAAAAACTAAGAGATTAGTTTGGAGAGTTTTGTTTTATAGTTGGACTTGGATCTCGTTGTGGAAGATCTATCCAGTCTGTGTTTCCTAAAATATTATTAAGATCTTTAATTAAGCGTCAGATTACCTGATAATTGTGTTTTCAACCTTTTAATACTTTTAATAGAAAAGGAGTAATGTATAATGATAAACCTTTGCAATGACAAATCATCTCATAACATAAAATGGAACATACAAGAAGTGAAAGGCACATTTAACCCTGCATAAAATTATACGGTATATGATTTATAATTAATGAAATTCTGTCATTAAGATATTCATTTTCTGTACAAAAGCCATTCGACATTCTTCATCCGACAAAATAAATCAAATATTGTAATTGCGGCAGAATATTAATGCATTACTTCAAAACTGATGCATGATAATATTGCTTGGAATAAGGATTATCTTAATGTTGACATGTTGGTATTATCTGGTTATTTATTTTAAATTCTAAATCTTTCTTGCAGATGGCATATTTTGGTCATGCTAGTTCAGCAATAGGTTACTGCTCTGGCCTTGGAATATCATGCGGAGAGCATTATAATCCAGCTGACTTTCTATGTAAGTTATGTTTTATCTATTGACTTTCTATGTAAGTTATGTTTTATCTATTGACTTTCTATGTAAGTTATGTTTTATCTATTGACTTTCTTTGTAAGTTATGTTTTATCTATTGACTTTCTATGTAAGTTATATCTTTATCTATTGACTTTCTATGTAAGTTATATCTTTATCTATTGACTTTCTATGTAAGTTATATCTTTATCTATTGACTTTCTATGTAAGTTATGTTTTATCTATTGACTTTCTATGTAAGTTATGTTTTATCTATTGACTTTCTTTGTAAGTTATGTTTTATCTATTGACTTTCTTTGTAAGTTATGTTTTATCTATTGACTTTCTATGTAAGTTATGTTTTATCTATTGACCGTCTATGTACGTAATATCTTTATATATTGACTTTCTATGTAAGTTATGTTTTTTATCTATTGACTTTCTTTGTAAGTTATGTTTTATCTATTGACTTTCTATGTAAGTTATGTTTTATCTATTGACTTTCTTTGTAAGTTATGTTTTATCTATTGACTTTCTATGTACGTAATATCTTTATCTATTGACTTTCTATGTAAGTTATGTTTTTTATCTATTTACTTTCTATGTAAGTTATGTTTTATCTATTGACTTTCTTTGTAAGTTATGTTTTATCTATTGACTTTCTATGTAAGTTATGTTTTATCTATTGACTTTCTATGTAAGTTATGTTTTTTATCTATTGACTTTCTATGTAAGTTATATCTTTATCTATTGACTTTCTATGTAAGTTATGTTTTTTATCTATTGACTTTCTTTGTAAGTTATGTTTTATCTATTGACTTTCTATGTAAGTTATGTTTTTTATCTATTGACTTTCTATGTAAGTTATGTTTTTTATCTATTGACTTTCTATGTAAGTTCTATCTTTATCTATTGACTTTCTATGTAAGTTATGTTTTTTATCTAATGACTTTCTATGTAAGTTATATCTTTATATATTGACTTTCTATGTAAGTTATATCTTTATATATTGACTTTCTATGTAAGTTATGTTTTATCTATTGACTTTCTTTGTAAGTTATGTTTTATCTATTGACTTTCTATGTAAGCTATATCTTTATATATTGACTTTCTATGTAAGTTATATCTTTATATATTGTCTTTCTATGTAAGTTATATCTTTATATATTGACTTTCTATGTAAGTTATGTTTTATCTATTGACTTTCTTTGTAAGTTATGTTTTATCTATTGACTTTCTTTGTAAGTTATGTTTTATCTATTGACTTTCTATGTAAGTTATGTTTTATCTATTGACCGTCTATGTACGTAATATCTTTATATATTGACTTTCTATGTAAGTTATGTTTTTTATCTATTGACTTTCTTTGTAAGTTATGTTTTATCTATTGACTGTCTATGTAAGTTATGTTTTATCTATTGACTTTCTTTGTAAGTTATGTTTTATCTATTGACTTTCTATGTACGTAATATCTTTATCTATTGACTTTCTATGTAAGTTATGTTTTTTATCTATTGACTTTCTATGTAAGTTATGTTTTATCTATTGACTTTCTTTGTAAGTTATGTTTTATCTATTGACTTTCTATGTAAGTTATGTTTTATCTATTGACTTTCTATGTAAGTTATGTTTTTTATCTTTGACTTTCTATGTAAGTTATATCTTTATCTATTGACTTTATCTATTGACTTTCTATGTAAGTTATGTTTTTTTTTTATCTATTGACTTTCTATGTAAGTTATGTTTTTTATCTTTATCTATTGACTTTGACTTATGTAAGTTATGTTTTTTATCTATTGACTTTCTATGTAAGTTATGTTTTATCTATTGACTTTCTATGTAAGTTATGTTTTTTATCTATTGACTTTCTATGTAAGTTATGTTTTATCTATATATTGACTTTCTATGTAAGTTATGTTTTTATCTATTGACTTTATATATTGACTTTCTATGTAAGTTATATCTTTATATATTGACTATGTAAGTTATATCTTTATATATTGACTTTTATGTAAGTTATGTTTTATCTATTGACTTTCTTTGTAAGTTATGTTTTATCTATTGTTTCTTTGTAAGTTATGTTTTATCTATTGACTTTCTATGTAAGTTATGTTTTATCTATCTTTACTATTGTTTCTATGTAAGTTATGTTTTATCTATTGACTTTCTTTGTAAGTTATGTTTTATATATTGTTTCTATGTAAGTTATGTTTTTTTCTATATATTCTATTGACTTTCTATGTAAGTTATAAGTTATGTTTTTTATTGACTTTCTATGTAAGTTATATCTTTATCTATTGACTTTCTATGTAAGTTATATCTTTATCTATTGACTTTCTATGTAAGTTATATCTTTATATATTGACTTTCTATGTAAGTTATGTTTTATCTATTGACTTTCTATTAAGTTATGTTTTATCTATTGACTTTCTATGTAAGTTATGTTTTATCTATTGACTTTCTATGTAAGTTATGTTTTATCTATTGACTTTCTATGTAAGTTATGTTTTATCTATTGACTTTCTATGTATAATATCTTTATATATTGACTTTCTATGTAAGTTATGTTTTATCTATTGACTTTCTTTGTAAGTTATGATCTATTGACTTTCTATGTAAGTTATGTTTTTATCTATTGACTTTCTATGTAAGTTATGTTTTTTTTGTATCTATTGACTTTCTATGTATCTATTGACTTTCTATGTAAGTTATGTTTTTTATCTATTGACTTTCTATGTAAGTTATATCTTTATCTATTGACTTTCTATGTAAGTTATGTTTTATCTATTGACTTTCTATGTAAGTTATGTTTTTTATCTATTGACTTTCTATGTAAGTTATGTTTTATCTATTGACTTTATGTAAGTTATTCTATTGACTTTCTATAAGTTATGACTTTCTATGTAAGTTATATCTTTATATATTGACTTTCTATGTAAGTTATATCTTTATATATTGACTTTCTTTTGACTTTCTATGTAAGTTATGTTTTATCTATTGACTTTCTATGTAAGTTATGTTTATATATTACTTTCTATGTACTTTATATGTTTCTATGTAAGTTATATCTTTATATATTGACTTTCTATGTAAGTATCTATTGACTTTCTATGTAAGTTATGTTTTTTATCTATTGACTTTCTATGTAAGTTATATCTTTATCTATTGACTTTCTATGTAAGTTATATCTTTATCTATTGACTTTCTATGTAAGTTATATTTTATCTATTGACTTACTATGTAAGTTATGTCTTTTATCTATTGACTTTCTATGTAAGTTATATCTTTATCTATTGACTTTCTATGTAAGTTATATCTTTATCTATTGACTTTCTATGTAAGTTATGTTTTATCTATTGACTTTCTATGTAAGTTATGTTTTATCTATTGACTTTCTATGTAAGTTATATCTTTATCTATTGACTTTTTATGTAAGTTATGTTTTATCTATTGACTTTCTATGTAAGTTATGTTTTTATCTATTGACTTTCTATGTAAGTTATGTTTTATCTTTGACTTTCTATGTAAGTTATGTCTATTGACTTTCTATCTTTATTTGACTTTCTATGTAAGTTATGTTTTATCTATTGACTTTCTATGTAAGTTATATCTTTATCTATTGACTTTCTATGTAAGTTATGTTTTATCTATTGACTTTCTATGTAAGTTATATCTTTATATATTGACTTTCTATGTAAGTTATGTTTTATCTATTGACTTTCTATGTAAGTTATATCTTTATCTATTGACTTTCTATGTAAGTTATATCTTTATCTATTGACTTTCTATGTAAGTTATATTGACTTTCTATGTAAGTTATGTTTTATCTATTGACTTTCTATGTAAGTTATATCTTTATATATTTCTATGACTTTCTATGTAAGTTATATCTTTATATATTGACTTTCTATGTAAGTTATATCTTTATATATTGACTTTCTATGTAAGTTATATCTTTATATATTGACTTTCTATGTAAGTTATATCTTTATATATTGACTTTCTATGTAAGTTATGTTTTAGCTAGTAAATTTCTATGTAAATTATGTTTTAGCTAGTAAATTTCTATATACGTTATATTTCATCTATTGACATTCGATGTACGTTATATAGATATTGATTATTAAAAATATTGCTTGTATGAACTCTCACTAAGGCATGCCTATTCCAAATGAGTGTAATGATGTCGTTTTTTGTTTGTTTTTGTTTTCTTTGTTTTTTTGTTTTTGTTTTTTGTAAATTCTCCATTACTAAAAGTAACTTACACTGTACCTGCTTCTCCAACCGATGGAGTTGCCATATCGAAGTTTGTCTGATAATTAAGTGTTTGTTTCAAATATCAAGATTTTTTATGACGACAGTTGTTTGGGTAAATCAACACAAAGATTTTTTCGAGCAGTACGTTTATGAACATTATAGAAAAAATATTTTATTATTTAATATGACGTTTGAGGTATGGATGTTTCGTTTTTGGTTGTTTTAGATTTTGCTCTATATAAGGCTGGTTTCTCGAATACCCAAAAGACACTTGCCCTTCTGTTATTCCTGGTCTAATTTCCCTTATATTTTGTCAGAGGTCTCCATGTAAATATTTGTGTACATATTAGCATTCAGCATTCAATAGCTTCATCGAGTCTATACATAAGATATGTTGACCTGTCTAAATTTTCTGTGTTTTTGTTTAAGTGGAACAGCTGGCATCAGATTCAAAAACAATTGATATATTGAAGGAAAATGGGAAAACCATTAAGTAAGTTAAATCTCCGTTGTTATAATACATGATACACAATGCTCTTCTGTATATTTTCTCATTATCTATATAGATTAATAGTAGTATACAATAACACTGCATAATATAATACATCTAGGTCGAATTTCCTTGACATTACTATCGGCTAGTTTTGTAGTGGTTAGCGTTTGTGCAAACTCATACCAAGAAAACCTTACAACTGAAACAATTTGCAATGAGGAGATCATTAGAAAAATACCAAACAAAAGAAAGTTTGAAAGCGTTTAGATTATCGATTATATTTGGTGATTACATAAACCAGATTGTTGCGTTTTAATATTCTCGTTTCCCACGAAAATAATCTTTATGATAAAAAAATGACACTTCTCATCTGAATTTCATCAATAACGGGAACTTGAGATGGAAATAGATCGATGGTTTCAAATTTTCCTAGATCATATTTTTTACATTTCCTGCAAGACATCAACAAAAACCAGTTCCATCGAAAATTAGTGATTGGAAAACCAAACGTCTTTTTAATTATTTGAACAGGTCCGATCTTTCGTTTTGCGTGAGCAATGTATTACACATATCAAGGGTAGTTTTACAACGTCATTGCTTCAACAAATATCAAATGAACATATGTTGCTTTGTTGCTTCACATAGAAGTTCGCAAGTTAGTCATTATTAACTAAAAGGAAATAATCATTTCTTTGATGCGCCATCCTTATGAAAGGATGGTTTGTTTAACTTTATTGATAATTTTATCGATCACGTAACTATCTTGATATAAATGTAATAACGCCGTATTATTACTACACGTGTAATAATTACTAGCGAAGTTGTGAATGTTTATAGTTCTTATTGTTTCAACTGTAGCGCAATAGCTACATGATTCAATATGCAATGTGACGCCTTTGAATGAGAAAATCTCGAGTTTCGATCTTACACTCGTTCACGTCAATACAATTTTGCTCTCGTGAGTATTTGTAACATGGCATTACATCTTTTCCATTCGTCGAACATTCGGAAAAGGGTATAACCAACTAAACAAACCCATGACATTGATCACCTATAGAATGTGAGAATACACATCCCCTATACTTTCTTTCGTGTTAGGACATTTACGGAGCATTTCGCCCTAGCTGAAACTATATATATATATATATTTATCTGAAAAACATATCCATATTGATCTACAAACTGCATTTTTCGAAGTTTTCTTCAGCATATTACTATTTCTTTTCGTTATTTTCAAACATAATGATAAAACGACTTAAACGTGTCGTGCTCTGTTTCAGAATATATCCTCCGGTACGCGGGAAAGGACAGGGAAGGAGAAGATACTCGTACACAGGTGACGAAAATGAATTGAAACCGCTACATGTCGACAATGACTGGAACAAAAGCATTCTTCATGGAACCTGTAATAGCTTTCCTGGTGTGTAACGAGTTCAAGAATTAGAGTTTGAATTATGACTTTGTTGCCATGTTAGTATTTTCCTGATTTTTTATGGGCTAATAAGGGTTTCCGTGAAAACGGTTAGACGGACATCTGGAATGTTGAATATCCCGCTTTCCTCTAGGAGGCCATTAAATGCTAAGATACATCACTTTTAAAATTTAACTATAATAGAAGTAAGCCGTAAATAAATTCATCTGAACGTTTAGAAATTAATAAAAATCGCTACGCATCTGATTTGATTTTTAAAAAAAACAACAAAAAACAAGTGTTCCTGTTGCACAAGAACAAATGTTTCATTCCTTTACAAAGGCATGTTACGCCATAGCCTTCGTTTTTTGCAATAAAATACATTATGTTCAAAAACAGGTTCACAGTTGTCCATGTGCAGTGGTGGAGCATTTGTTATGGAAGAAGGAAAAGCTGTGCCTCGATGGCCAACATCAATGCTTCACCAGCTGAAGATGCTAAACTGGCGAATATTAAAGCAGTCTAAAGGTCAAATATTTAAGAAGTACTACATAATCCACGCCGTATTTCTGGCGCTCGTTGTAGGGGCTGTATACTTTCAAATTGACAATGTAGAAAGAACTGTGAGAGACAAAATGGGTCTGGTAAGATTAGCATTAAAACTGTATCTCAGATATAACCATAAATCATATGTTGTAGATTTTGTGGATAATTTATATTATGGCAATGTACAAAGATCTCTGCGATTTTGCATGGATTGGTTTGATGTTTCTATAGAGTTTACTGTCGAATAATTAGTGAGCAAATGTTATCATTTTGGTCTAAGTCTTCAAATGTACATTTATGTCTTTGATTGTGTGTACATATGCTGAAATTAATGTGCGTGTATTTGTATGCGTGTGTAAATGTATACGTGGTGTGTATTATGTTTACTTTGTTAGTTCCTTTATCTTAGTTTTGTTCAGGCTTTTTATGTGAACTGCTCATTTAAAAAATGAAGCAATTTTAGAATCTGCCATTCAATCGTTTATCTATCAATTTCTCATAGTTAAGTCTTCTTTGGCCTTTTGAATTTAAATCAGGTTTTCTTGTTAATTGATCAAATCGACAGTACAACATGATATCATGAAATTAAATTAGATTGTAGCATAAAAACCTGAACATTTTGCTGTTCGGCTGTTATCACTTGTGACAGTTATAAATGTATGGTAGAACTGATTCAGTTGAATACACTGCGTGTTTTATTTTCTGGCCTCTACCACGTTAAATGATAAATTTGTTCTTTAGTTCTTATGAAGTCCGACTTGTTTTATACATGTATATATCATTCCCACGTTCTTAATAAATGTGCTTAATGTTCTTAAATATTGCGGCTGCAGCGTGATTCTGTCAGAATTATTGTAAGCTCCTGAATGAATTAAAACAAACATTTTAATTGATGTTTTGTTAATGCAGGTGTTCTTCTCTTTGTTGCACTGGGGACTTCGGATTAGATTCGCTACTATTTGGAATTGTAAGTACTATCATTATTGAAATCACTATTTTTGATTACATTTTCATCTATAATTTTCGAATTAAATAAACCTGCATAAATTAGACAATTCTTACCACTACAAAATATAAGTCTGTATTCAAGTAATTCATGTTTAGGTCATCACATTTTGTCTTTTTTATGTTTACATTTTATTGTGATGTCTATATATATATATATATATTTGATTTACTTTATTTTGCGGTCATCTGAGTTGTTTGCTTATTTTCCTCGCATAAATAACCAGTATTAAATTAGATTTTGTCAAATCTGTTCATCACGCCATTATCCATATCCCTTGAAATGCGGTATGTATTTGTTGTATGGTTAAGTTAGATAATACGTAATCCTTATCCTATGTTAGATAGAGTTACCTCATCCCTAGCTACCACGAGGCCTCCCTGTGAAGTATGTGAGAATTTATTGCCATTTCTATGTCGACATTTTAGATTTTTTCATCTTACAAATATACGTGAAATATCTGCTTAAAAGGCGTTCTGTCAACCGTTACAGTGCATAAGGAGACCGATGTTATACGTAAGGAACGGTCAGTAGGAGTCTATCGATTATCGGCCTATTATCTGTCTAAGATGACCACTGAGTTGCCACTATTATTGGTCATTCCAACACTGTTCAACACGGCTGTTTACTGGGCTGCTGGCCTTGGAGGAGTAGAAGTATATTTTGCCTACTGTGGTTTTGGAATTCTCAATTGCCTTCTGATACAAGTAAGTAATGTGTTGATATTAATATTAATAATAATAATATTAATATGATTGACGTGTATGTTTCTATGAAATATTCCCACTGAATACAATCTCGTTAGCGGAGAGGTGGACTATCATACAATCTGTATTCTTTTCTCGTTGATACATTTTTCCTTTATATCACTTTAATGTTACGATCAAAATACCATTTCATCGTGTAATTATATTTTGTTATTAATTGATTTAAACAGATGAGTCGACAATAAAGTTAAGAAACTGAAAAACGTTTAAAATTTTAACCAGAAGAAATGGTCAAAAACAATTAACATTTTAATGCTTTGAGTCTCGTGTTATATTCATGTTTAATTCAGGAAAACGAGAATGTAAGATTTAAAAAATATTGAAAAGATTCAAGATTTGTCAACGATAAAAAACTTAATAATTATTTTTCAGAGTTTGGCACACGTTATAGGTGTCTGTATTAATGATCTGACACTAAGCATGCTTGTCATGGACTGTTTCAACATCGGCGGTTTGTTACTGGGTAACCTTGTCCCTCGAAAAGGGCTTTATTGCCTTTTGCCTTTAGCACATTCATTCTAAGTTTCTAAGTTCTAAGTTTTTAAAAAAATCTTTCGACCAATAAAATTTTAATAATTTTCTTCAGTCGCCTTTTTCAACAAATTATGCCCTTAGAATCACTGAAGAGTTCTAGACGGAATAAATAGCTGTAAGATACAGTTAGATATATTACAATATATTGTTTGGCTCTACGATATTATATATTCATTCACTGGTGACGCGGTTCAGAATAAAAACATGTACTTGACGTTTTTGGAGATCAGTTTGTTTTAAAAATAATTATCTTTTTTATCCCTTCATTTATTTCGACCTAATAAGTCGCTGGTAAGTCTTAGAATTCATTATTTTATTATTATTATTATTATAATTTTCGAATGCAAATGTTTTATTCGCTGGTGTATCTATTTCACATTCTTTGATGAAATATAGCAGTTGCGAATAACTATTTTCTGACATAACAGCAATAAAGAATTATCGACGTTACTGTTTTAGGTGGCTTCTTCAACATTCATCCACCATCTTGGTTAGTTTGGAGTAAATATATTTCACTGGTTCACTATCCGTATGCTGCGACTATGATATATATGCTGAAGGATATGGAGAATATCAGGCAAGTAGCCTATATAAAGATGACGAAATTATATCTTTACAAGTATGTTGTATTCCTTTAAAAAGAAAACTTTACTCGCTATTTATGATAGAATATAACATAAATATTACCTTATTGTGTTTTTAATTTCTCCTATGAATTTTTCATTTTATTTATTTTGAAGGTGCAACGAGACAAGTGTTACGTCATACCCACAATGCATTTTGAACAAGACAGAAATGGTGACGACACAAGATGTTTTGGCAGGAGTTGGTATAGATCTGCATCTTCATTGCTATGTATTAACTTTAATTTTATCTATCATCGGTTTTCGTATTCTGGGTTACTTTGCATTGAAGTGGAAAGGCATGTAACTTTTACTATCAGTAAAAGAATTCATGATGGTTCAAAATTCTACTGTTTCCCCAATTTTTACACAGTGAAAGTGGTGCAATTTTCACGGGTGTCGTGAAATGGGCTTTATGTTTCTGTAATGATTAATAAAGCCTTTGAATCCTCGGTGGTGATATGGGATATCTACCTAAAGGACAAATATTGTGTTGGCAAACATGAGATATGGCTAGTGGATAAGAAATTCACTGAAGAATTAGACGTTTTGCTAGCCAGCAGGTCAGCCGATATTTTCCTACAGCAATGAAAAGATGTTTACGTTTTTTATTTATGGATTCAGTAATTGGAAATCAAAGTGAATATCAAAACTTAGAATGAAATTGTGTTTCAATATTCAAAACATTTAAACAATAAGGTGTAATTAGCATAGAATTAATTGTGATATAATTACGATCGACATGTTTTTTGTTCTACATAATTTGTTTTCTTTCTTTCTCTCTCTCTCTTTTCACAACCATAATGTCCCTCTTACTAATGTTTGATGTGGGTTTTTTCAAATTTATAATTTGTCATTATATTCCGTTCAACCAATATTTGATTGTTTATATTTTCATTATTTTGTTATACTATCAGAGCATGGAGTGTTACTAGAAATGGAATATTCATAACTCGAAAGCAAAACTTAGAAACGCGTCATGCACTTGCGGGAAATCATGGCGCTGATGAACCAACCTTAATACAATTTAAGAAGAAATTGAAAAAAAAGAAAATGAAAATAGGGAAAAATTGATACAGCAAGGTTACAATGAACGACGTTCAGATGTTATGTTTGAATTCAGTTTACAAAATTAAAATTAAAAATATGAACCACTTTTATCAAACCTGATTTCCATATGTTATCTTACATCCAACTACATTGCTATATCATTTACAATCGTTATAAATGACAGAGTTTTGGAGGCAAACATCAAATTGCTAACGCTTATCATGTTTACGTACAAAATCTTTTTATTTACCCCTTCAATAAATAACATTAGCAGACAGGGCAAAGGCTATATTTAAGCTTTATCCTCTTATGTTATTTCATGTCGCATATTACAGGACTGGAAAAAAGTACAACAGTAATGTTACGGTGTGCCGTTGTCGTTCATATGCCAACAGTTTTAAGACAAGTTTTGAGTGTCATTTATGGTATCATAAACCACTGGGTATTTTATTCTGGCTAGTTTATGTAGTGTTATTGTCTTGATCAAGATACATTTACAATAAAAAATTTAATGAAATACATTTCGTCTTATATCTCTATTCCCCTGTGTCTTACACAGTTCTTAGAAAATGGATTTAGAGAAAATACGGAAAATATTTTCGGCATGCAAATTAGAACTGGAGGAAACGGAAATCCTTCAAATCTCAAGACTAGGAAAGTACAAAAAACAGAAAGTTCTGAAGCATCAAAGAAACCCATGCTAGTCGTTTTTTAATCCGAGTAAATAAAGCGGGACCTATTCCGCAATATTAGCATATTACCAGCAATATTATTAATGATTAAACAGAGAATGAAAGAAGGGCAGAAAAGGCACTCAGCGATGAAGCCAAAGGAAAAGCAGAAAACTCGTCTGGGTAATACATGTTCAGGGTTCGCGGACCTCCATGGGCTCTGCGAATAGTCAAAATTGTAAGCGGAACTCGGGGCGGGGAAAGAGCAAGGAAGTCAAGTCGTCGTTAAAGTGTTTATACACCAACGGCGATCAGCTCAGGAACAAATAAGACGAACTTTTTCATAAGAACAAATATTGAAAAACCACAGATAATTGGAATCACTGAAGTTATAGCAAACAAAATAGCAAATATACGGTGTTCGAATCTGAATGTAATATCGGGAACAATTTTTCTATGTTTCTAAAAATTTGGATTCTCCTACCGGGAGGGGCCTTATGTTATATATTAGTAACTATCTAACTTGTAAGGAAGTGGCTTTTAATACTTCCTTTAAGGAATATCTCAGCGTAAACATAACTTTAAATAGTACAGATGAGATGTTAGTATGTCTTGTGTATAGATCGAACAACGGATCAAGTGAGAATAACGATCAGTTACGAACCTTTTTACAAGGCATATCTAAGGAACATTATTCGCATATTCTTATACTGGGAGATTTTAACTATCCAGAAATAAACTGGAAAACATGGAATGTAAATGTAAATAACACGGAATCACCAGTTAACACTTTCAAAAATAGATTAGATGAACACTGGGCAAATCAGGAACTGGTATATAATTATAAATCAGAAATTCTGTAGTTCCTGGATCTGACGTTTCAAATGACAATAATTATAAACATTATCATTGTATCACTGAGACCGGTATAGAGGATCGTAACGATCCTTCACTGGTAATAAACTAAACTGAACTAAACTAATTCGTTTATACTTGGTGAACGAAACCTAGAGCATGGGACTACAGTGTCGTCGAAAGCAAAACATATATCATTCAATACATTGTAATACTTTCCGATATTACAGTTGAAATTCTTCGAAAACGGTTTTATTTTTAACCTGATAAAGGATTCCACTTACAATGATATTTTCATAATATAGTAATATGTTATAAAAAAAAAAAAACACACACACACACACACACCAGGCCAGGTGTTGATTGTTGTACCTAAACAGTAGTTAGAATTTCTGAGGTTTTTACATTTTACATGGGACTATCAAATATTGTACAAAATTCACACAAGTGAATTTCATAATTTAAAGCAAGTTTAGATAAGATATAACGGAGACAAACGACTGTTGGTGAAGCTTTCAGAGATACACAGACGACGACAGACTTCTTACCAAGTACATAACACAGTTATTTGTAACAGGTGGTGGGTGAAAGTCTGCAATAGTGGCTTTTCCGATACCGCTTGTCAAACTGGTGCGAGGGCTGTTTAGTTCTTACCGAAGCTTGGACTTTTGACTGTGGGTAGCTACCTATAGGGTTAGGTTAGAACCCGAGCTAGGAACACGAACAAGGGTTGGCTTCGTTGGTTGGACAACCTAGTGCTTAGTCAGGACCGACTAAGTGATATTGCTCGGCGACTAGTTCAGTAGTTGGAACTAGGGTTAGGTGAAATCACTGGGTGTCGAGTTTGCACTCACGCTCACATGCTAGTCAGAACAGTCTGTATCGGGACAGCAGTCCATGTGAATACTAGTTCGTTCGTTTGTTTTATTGTTAACTCAGGTAGAGTTTGCTGTTACACGCTTTATGTATATATAGGCATTTGTTAGCTAGTATCTCTGCAAGGAATCAGAGACTTACCCACCGTGTGCAAAGCTAGGCTGCACGTTACATTAGAGCCCTCTAGCGGCAATTTTCTGCGTAAAATAATGCCGCGATCTTTCAAATCGCTGTTTTAAAAGCATTCAAAATTACATGTAGTTTATTTTTTTAATAACAATACGATTACTATATATTTCAAAAAAGAAGCACAGTGTGGTTGAACTATTGATAAATTTTGAACAATATATTTTACGGAATTCTCGACATGACGTAAGCGTACAGAACACTGTACGTGCGAGTTGGCGCCATGATAAAAAGCTAGTCTGGGGGGTTTGTTTGAATTATCAATTAGCATCACTTATAAACAAACAAAACTTACAAACAGAACATCAATTTTGTTTTAATCTTTATCGTTGTGGCAAGATAGTCTTAATATATAGCATCACTTTACCTCATTAGCCGTGACAAAATTGGACTAATCGCCCCACACGCACACCCGTCGATATGACACTTTTCCAGGTTTTTCACACCCACCGCCATGACACTTTTTCAAGTTTTTGAAGATAAAAAGATTGCGCTTCGTAGGCAAGGTACATTTGGTGCTCATGATTTATAAATAATATATTTTTAATACTGTACTGATCATGATGTTGACTTTGTTATAACTTATATTTTTTGTCTTTTAGTTTTATTTGATGAAGGTTGATTGTGCTGATTTCTCAATGTTTGTTAATGTGTATCAAAGTTCCTTGAAATGAAAATATTCCTTCAAACAAAGCGCGTATAAAAAAACCCAAAATATTCATGTTTATAATTATCAATTAACTAGAACGAAATGTTTCCATAACATATTTATTCATTTAGCATGTCATGGTGACATTATCTAATGCATTAGAGATCAGAAATAGTAGTAGCTATAGTGAAAATATTGAAAATTTTGTATCTATATGGAAGTCTGGTTTAATCTCATAGAGCTATGTCTTTATAGATATAATTACTGGAATAAAAATCTAACCATGATACTTCAAGGAAGATAGGCATGTAAATACATTAACTAATTATGTAATTACTTAAACTTTTATCTATCTGAAATGCTGTGTACACCTTATCTACTTTCCTCAACCACAAACATAATTATAATAAGTAAGGACTATTACTTTGCAATACATTTGAAATAAAGAAGTAGGTATAAAGTCCTTTCGATTTGTCTAAATCCTCATATTGATAGGATAGTAATTGCAACATCTTGGGTATTTCAAAGGTTTTATTTAGTCAACTTCATCATAGAGCTATTTATCATTTGGCTTGTTGGCCATAAATATATTATTTGTTCATATTATTTTCGTCAAATCTGAAATAAGAATTAAAAAGGGTATAAAATCGCTTAAAATTAAGACAAATAGCCTCTGGTTCTCTTATTTTAGTAATTTTTGCATTCCAGTGTAGGAGTATGAGGAAAGTAATATAGCTTTGCGGTTATTTGTGAACATTTTTCAATACGTTTAGCCTTTCAGTACTTTCAGTACTTTGATTTCACTAGTGACGCTTTTCACAAACACCGTTCTCATGTTATTACACAATATTAGGTTTCATGCGATGAATGATTTCATACATAAGGATCCGATTATGAAGGCATTCATTTGTGAAATATCGGGGAGACATGTTGGATTTAAGCCTTCCGTACACCTTTCTTTCATCAAAATACGTCAGGTTATTTTCTGTCAAGTGAAATCCGTGGAACGCCTTCAAACGTTTGAGTGACCGAGACTACATTTGATCGCGCTCTGAATTGCGCTTGAAAGTTGAACCGAAAGTAAACGCCAATCCAGGTTTGTGTTTCGTCCGATTGTAAAACATAGTCGATTTACTGTCTCTATGTGTTATCGACATTTTGAAATTGTTCTTTAGTTCATATCTACTTACGTATATTATTTCTTGCAGATTGTCATTGTACATAAAATAGAATTTGAAACCATTTTTTTCACTTCCGGAAATGTTAGATAGCGCCAGTAAATAGACAGGGGAAAATGTCTCTAAAATGAGAATTCAATGCCAATATTCACATTTATAATGTTGTTAGTAGTATATACAGTTTTCCTGATTATGCTTATTTAGAACATTTATGAACTAAAAGCGAAACTGATTTTATTTGTTTTCGTTGGGAGAGAAGTAGGGTAAACCACAAATTAGTGTATAATACTGATCTATGATTTGTCACAAAAAACAATATCACTTTAAACTTAGTTTTTTTTTCATACTGTTTGCCTATTTTAAATCTCATTTATTTTGTCTTTCTTTAAACATCATACTATAATTGCCAAAATAAAGTACTTTCAGCATATATGGTCTATGTTACGATAGTCCAGATACTTCGACGGCGACAGTTACATATCACGTTTCAAAGTAACTATTTTGGCTATTTTTAGTAACAAATACATTCCTGAATTGGGGCAAGTTAGCCAGTTTGCATATTATAAGCAAATTTGGGTTTTGCACGGCCTGATTATTTTTTAAATATTTTTTTTTCTCTTTTAATAGCATATAAGAACAATGGCAGAGGCAACAGTTTCGTTGACTCCACTGGAGCAACAGAAAATAGAAGCAAATTATGCCAATATAGTGACTGATGTTCGAGCTGAAGATATTATGGACAAATTTGTTGATGAAGGTTTCTTCACCATAGCAGATGTAGTTGACGAAATCATGAAGGAAAATTCTGGCCGAATGGAACGGCTTGTTTCGCTGCTTTCTAACAGCAAGCAAAAAGCAGGAGTATTTAATTTCTTTGTAAAACAACTAGAAGATAATCGTCATGAAAAATTGGCCAGACAAATAAGAGAAACAGAGAAAAAACCCACTCAAGTCACAGAAGGCAGAGAAGGTAATTGCTGATACACATACATGTAGTCTCTGATATACAAAAGTTGAAATTTGATTTTGTTTTACATGAAAATGTCAGCCAATGATCATGGTAGTTTATTTTATGGGTCATGATTTTTTTATTGTATTGACAAAACAAGGGTTTAAAGACAATTTGCCCTTGTAGCAAATCACACCTTGGCCTTTGAACCCTTACTCTAAAATGGTTCATGCATTAGGAAGAACACATGTTCAGGCACCATTGTGCCAAATTTCATTACAGTCCTTTTTGTCAATTATTTACTAATCTTTTGCATCAAAGTAATCTCTTTGACACAAATCACCATTGACCTATGACACTTGGTTGAAAATCGTTATGAATCTATTATATGATAAAGTAGAACAACTTACCAAGTTTGATTACTTCCTTGAAATGTTTCTCTTGACTATGCAAGTTATATGAACCAAATTGTATTAAATGATCAAGTGACCTTGTTGACCTTGACCTTTGATTATGAAAATCATTCTCTAAGTGGAAACAAGTATTTGTACTCACCTTATGATCTTAACCTTTGACCCACTGATTCTGAAAAAGTGTATAAACCATTATCTACGGTGAAGTAGTACAAGCTTGCCAAGTTTGATTACTTTCATGAAACTTTTCTCTTAACTATGCAAATTAATCGACCTCATAATATGACCCTAATTGTGCTAAATGACCCTGTGACCTTGACCTATGATTATGTAAATCATTTTCTAACTGGAAACAAGTATTTATAGTCATCTTATGATCTTAACCTTTGACCCACTGTCTCTGAAGAAAAAGTTTAATTATTCACGATGGTTGGAAACAATTATTCTAAGTTTGAAGAATCACCCGTGCTGTGGGTAAGTTTTCTCCCAACCATCCTGACCACCACATTCATCACAATTAACTGACCAAAATTCACCTTGACCTCTAATAACCAACACTGAAAAACAGAATTGAGGTTCAGTCTTTTCATAAAGAGTTGTAAGGAAATTTGATTATGCTTCATGACATTTTTTTCTGTGAAACATACAGACCTTTTTTTCACAGATTAACAGACAGCAGTCATGCTATATTTCTTCTGTAGTTTATTGTTGGGAGATATTATCATATTTTTAATGTTTTAAATATTTTTGATAATCAGACACACACTTGCATATCTTTAATTAACTATGGAAGTGAAAAATCATTCATTTGCACAAAATATGAAGATATATTTATGTATATATATATATATTAAAGTTATCCAATACAATATTTGTTTTATTGGAACAGATTCATTTGGGTATCTGGATATTCCTGATAAATTGAAAGACAGAAGAGTGACAGAGGAACATGCCATGTTTCTGTCAAAAGCAGTTCCTAAATCACATGAATTTGGAGATTGTCTTTCTTTGGGGGAGACAGAAATCTCACACATTCAAGCAGAATATGGAAAGTTTAGACCATCAACAGTTATACAGCAACTCATCCTCAGGTGGAGAGCCAAGGAAGGCAGCTCAGCAAAGCTCAAAAATCTACTTGATATTTTTCAGAAAAATTCAGACAAATTTGGCCTTGATTTTAATGCATATCAAACAGCATTAGAAAAGATTAGTAGGAGGTCATGAACTAATTTCCTTATTGTTTATTATTTATAATTGATTACAGGATCTTGCATCAGATTTTACTTCATACAAGATGTATGCTGTGATGTATATATGTAAATATAACCCACGGTTGTATATACCAGGTTTACCCGAGTGTCATTATAATGTTGTACCCATTATGTTAAATAAGACAATCCATTGAAGATGACTGTTAGGCCTGAAAACATTATCATTACTCAACATTTGTTTGTTGAACTTATTTTTCAATTACATCTCATAAAAACCAGTATACAGTCTACACATAAACAAGTTGAAAAAACACCCATGAGATTATTATGTAATGATGATGTAATGATGATGTGATGATGATAACGATGGTGTGTTGATGTGAATGTGATGATAATGTATAGTTTGTTTGATGAGTTTATAGTCAGGATTTTTTTGTAGTAGCTGGTTGCTACCTCACTGAACAATATACAAGAGGCCCTTTCAAAGCAATAAGGGTCAATTTTGTCTTGCCAAAGGGCACAACCACTTCAGCACAGACCGGTCTGTTTCTCAGCAGCTTTCTGTGACACTAAAACCACCAGGGGTAAAAGCATTGATTGAATCAACCATACATGTATGTATTAATTTTCATGACCACAATGTTGATGATGATGATGTTGTATCATATTCATGTGGGCATGTTGAATTAAAGTCTTGTATTTCATGTGTATCTGTACAATTCTTTCAAAAATAAAACAAATACAAACTTCTATCATTTTTTATATAGAGATATACTAGCTCAACTGGTTTTCATTATAGTAAATGATGAAAGATTTACTAGCAATGATAAAAGTAAAATTTCAAATCTAGTGTTAGGAAACAAGAGAAATAAAACCAAATTCAAGATTTTTTTAAAACATGCATATTGGAAGCAAGAATTTCAATAAATAAGCTTTAATGCTTATATAAGGAATTTCCTCAGGTACATGATCTTGTCTATACTTGGCCTGTTGTTCAGTGAGTTTGCCAATGTAATATTTTTGCATGTGTCACTATTGTAATATTCCCAGGAAAACTTTTCATTGACTGTGCCTTTCAGAAATTAATTATATGATGTTACGATATTATGTTCCCTGTGAATCTTCATTCCAAATGAATTACCTGTACAACTGTATCATCAGTCAAAGTTTTTGGTACATTAGTAGAAGATATCTCAACTTGGACATCTCTAACCTTGAATGTCAGTGAAGCAAGTGAAAATTCATTTACTTTGTATCAGGTGAAAAAAATATACTGGCAAGTTCAGTTATTAATAATTTATTGTAAAAAGAACAAAAATAAAAGTCATTCAACATAATCAAAATCCTCTGGGATGTCAAATTGTTTGTCTATAACACTTTCCTCAAAGGAGAACTTCCGTTTAATCCAGGACTTGATGGAAAACACATTATCTATAAAAAAATAAATAAATAAAAATGAAAATTGATATCTTGTATATCTAAAAACATCTAAATATAAATGTGTTTAGACTCAAAGATGAAAAACATCAATGGCAGCCTAGGAAAATTTTTTTTCAAACTTTCCAAATTGTATTCTGTGCAATTTCAGAAATGGTTCCAAGGGTAAACGTGAAGGTAAAGAGTTTTCAAAAAAAGGATACCTTGCACATATATATACGTAAATCTTACATGTGTATTGTAACTAATTTACATGAATCAATTAATTCATCATAACTGATGGACTCGTCAACAAACACAAGTAATTTGCTGATTCATTACAAACTAGCAAATGACAAGGTATGGATGCCCCAGCTTCAGTCTCCTATGGAAACCATAATATACCTGTATTTTGTGTACCTGATGTTAAGATACTTTGGTGTACCCAGTAAATAAGAACCAAAGCTGATAGGTTCTATTGTGATGGGATGTATCGATCTGGGTGACACTATATGCTCCAAATGAAATGGCATGGACATAAGTTACAGGAGTGAAACACAATGAAATTTCAACATGCTCTCTTCAAAGAAAATCTTCAGTCTAAATGAAGGTTTCAAGTCAAAGAGTACTGTAAAATCATGTATTTTCATTGAGCTAAAATATCTTGGGTTTTGAAAAAAAAATATAGATTTTTGTTGGCACTTGAATTTATGGATAAATCTTACCCACGAAATTCACTAGTAAATAAATAAATCCCCTCCAAAAATTTATGATTTACAGTAACAAGCAAATTATCAGGTATGTCTGAACACCCTAAGCTGCCCAAGTTAATTCTATGACATTTGAATATCTGACCTGTCCATCGATTGGCTGCCTCCTTGGCAACGGCTGTATGGTTCTGAACTTCTTGTAGAACTTCGGGGTCACATTCCCTGTAAAGCTCCAGTTCTGACATCAGACAGGACTTTTCTTCCCTCCTCTCTGCAAGCTCCAACAACAAATCTGATCGGTCCTCCTGTACAATTATATTTCAGAAACTAATACCATTCTGTGAACATATCATACTCCAAGTTTTTTACAATGCTAAAATAATTATTAAATAAAGCACACTTCAATTGCTTCAAATATATTTGATAAAGTTACCTTTATCCAGTTACCTACACCTGCAGTTTACCACTTATTGGTGTTAGTTTATTTTTCCAAGTTACAATTTAAGACTTTTGAACATATTGCAGTACACGAGGTACTGCACTGGCGAAAATCTGCAAAGAGTTCATGTGAAAGATGTCTGGCTCTATACCTTGTTAAGTTTATTGTACTTTCTTGGGATTATACATTTTAATATGTATGTATGTAATATACAAAAGTACACAAATAGTGTTTTTTCTCTTTTTGTCACAGTGATATGAATTTAAACTACATATATAAAGACCTAAAAAATACTGTAACATACAGCAGTGGAAGAACAAGACATCTATCAACTGATGAAAATATTTTAGAATTTTACTTCTTAAGCTGACAAAACACCTTCTTGATTAAGTTTCTCAACATTTCTACTAAATTTCAGCTCCATGGCAACATTGAAACTGGAAATCCTTGAAAACAGCAAAATATAAAGCCCCTCAAAAATAAGAACATTTACAGTATCTAACTATATAGTACATTAACTGGAGGTTGTGATGTAATGAGAGAGATTCACATGCTACTTAAACAGACTTACATTTTCTTCCTTGCCAACTTTGGCTTTAGACACAGACACTGTCAATGCTGCCTTCTTACTCTCCAACTCCTCCAGTTGATTGGTCAGATCACAGATTTTTCTCTTTCTCTGCAGATTGGCAAATTATGAAAAATAACAATAGATCATTACATCAGATGAAGTTAAATGATTAGATAATTGATTATATCCAATCATCGCCCCATTACTGGGAGGAACAGTGCCTTAGATGAACAAACTGACATTGAAGGACAGGAGGGTATTAAAAATTTGTACTCACATTTTGACTGGCCTTACTAGGGAACGCCCAGAAGTAGACTGAGGTGCCAATCTTGTCCGTGTCGACCATGGCATCATCAACAAGACTGGTGAGAATGTCCTTGACAGACATGGAGGTGATCCCTTTTTCCTTCTGACACATCCTCTCTAACTCTTTTAGAGTGAAGAAGTCTTTCTGTGACCAGCAAAAAATTGCTTTAAAACTAGTTTCCACTTATGTTGAAATAAACAAATTTATCGTTCTGAATAACATCTGTACAAGTGGGATAACTTTAGTAAAATACTATAACACAGAATAGTGTTGTGCTGATTGATTTAAATATTCAATAGTTTGTCGGAAATGTTTTTGATATCAAAAGTATTTTATAAGGTTGAGTATCACTAGAGGGTTTTTTTGATATGGCACATATCACAATACAAAGTTGTGGTTAATCCTAACACTTAATAAAAACAAATAACTCAAGAAAATTATTAAACTAGAGTCAGTAACTTTATAAACCTTGAAATAAAATGAAAACACAACAAAGAGTTAATCAGTTATAGTATTTTAACCACAAACCAATCCTATTTTGCCAAAGCCATCATGTGTGTGTCTACATGGCAGACATTTTTAATCCTTCTAGTCTATGAATTTTGGACATGAAGATTTCATGTTAACAATCAAGCATCATGCTGCACTACCTTTTGTTTCAAAAATCTAAATTTTAACAGGATATGAATAACAGTATGTTGTCTATAGATATATTTCGAAGCTGAGTGTTAAACTTTTCACTATTCATTTAACATACATCACAATTACAATCCCAGTGATCATATGATCGTACCATGAATCTGAAAACAATAATATCACAGTATTGATTAGTCATTATAGCTCTGTAGCTTTGACCAGTGTTATTCCCGGTATAACCCTAGTAAAATATTAGGCACTATATGGTTTGGCCAGAAAGAACTTCTCATCAGTTTGATCTGTTGTGCATCAGAAATTCTAGTGGAGGCAATGAAATAATGATCTCCAGTATACCTATATTGATATTATCTGAGTATCATAGTTTTTTGTAATTAATAAGAGATCACAGAGGGATCGTGGCCCCCGAGATTATTTGATCTTTATTTGTTCTTTAAAGGTGTATTTTTCCCTTCTTTTCTCTCCTCTTCTCTGTTTTTGCTCTTAATGATGAAAAATTTGAACATTAACATTTGCAGAAATAGTGATAATAATCTTTAACTGCAAAACCCAAGATGGTCTCCTGGAAGCCATATTGTTTCTTCTGATCAGTCACAAAATCAAATGAGCACAACTAAGGACCAAGGGGGAACCTGCACATGCAATTTGTAAGAGATTTGTTCAATACTTGAGAAATAGCGATAACAAACTTTCAAAGTCAAAATCCAAGATGGCCACCTTTTGACCGTTTTGTTTTTCTGATCACACGTAAAATCAAAGGACAAGAGGAAATTACACATGAAGTTTGTTAAATGCCTATGCAGTAATTCTCAAGAAATAGCAATAAAAAAACTTTCCAGTCAAAATCCAAAATAGCTACCTGTAAACTGTTTGATTTTTCTGATCAGTCACAAAAGCAAAAGGGCACAACTAGAGATCAAGAGAAACCTATACATAAGAAATTTGATAGAAATCCATCCAGTGCTTCTCAAGAAACAGCAATAACAAACTTTAATAGGAGAAATCAAAGATGGCTGCCTGTCAGTCATTTAGTTTTTTATCCGACCCAAAATCAACCTGCACAACTACGGGCCAAGGGGAACCTACATATGAAATTTGAGAGATCAATCCAGTTCTTCTCAAGAAATGCAGATAAAAACTTCATAGGAAAATCCAAGATGACTGTCTGTTGGCCATTTTATTTTTCTGATCAGTCCCCAAACCAAACGGGCACAACAACGAACCAAGGGGAACCTACATATGAAATTTGAGAAATAACCATTCAGTACATCTCAAGAAAAAGTGATAACACAAATGTTTACAGATGCAGGGACCACAGACGTAGGGCAATTTGAGTTGCTTACTATCTACTGAGGGTAGTACAGACCTATCAGTTTATTATTGATTTACATCTTATTAACAGCCAGGGTCATTCAAGGATGTCCCAGGTTTGGTTGGTGGAGTAAATAAGCCAGAGTTCCAAAAGAAAAAGAGAGGCTATCAATTTTCTAAGAAAAGCCACCTACCTCCCTCACATGGGCCTCCGAGGTGGATGGCTCTAGTGCCTTTTCAGGCAAACTTACTTATCGTTCTCATTCCAGATCCGATTCATTTTTACCTATCATGAGTACATTTATTAATTTCTTACTTTTTCAAAGAAAAAATCCATCATGCGGGATCTTTTCTCTTCAACGCTCAAACCTTTCTTCTTGGACTGAAAATAAGAAAAGTTGGAAATTTATTAGTGAGTACTCATATTGAATATACAGTCTTCCAGCCTGACAGTTTCACAGAAAAACTGAAAGGCTGTCACAATAAAATAGAAGAATTTAACCTGATTGATAATGATATGCATCATCAACTGATGGTGAAAATATGGAAAAATTTCCCCCAAATAGGAAAACAAATTCTTTATACAGTTTTCATTAGCATTTTTTGCCATCATGAAAAATATATATGAAAGTATTTCATTCGCGTAATCTTCGTGTATGTCACAAGTTTTATCCTATCCCTCTTTTAAATTTCCCAATTTTTTAAAAACATATACCTAGTATACCATAATCTTTGATTTTTAAATCAAACCTTTATGTGTGGCTTTGTCGAAGGCCTTTTTAACATCTGAATAGATGGTTTCAGTGGGTCTATTTTGGTATTTCTGAAATTTGTTTGGTTCATGATTTGCCAGTTCTGAAGCTATGTTAGTTTTCTGTTATAAGTTTGTTTTATTCATGATGATTTCCTATTTCATCCTGATTTATTCCTTAAAATAATTTACTCATTTCTGATATCTGGCTAATTGATCAGTAATTGCCTTTTTCTTTCCTCTTTGAAAATTACTGTAACGTTTTCATGATTTCAGTCCACTGGTAATTGCCATTGCTGTAGCAACTTCTTAAACAATATCTCTAGTGGCTTGATAAGTTTGTTAGTCATTTCTTTTATTAATCAAGGGAGGATTTTTATCTGATCCTGGTGACCTACTGCATTTTAATTTCATTATGTAACCCTGGATAAGATGCTAGCAACAAAACATCGCTCGACTGAAGAAATATTCTCTTTAAGTGTGACCGGTTGGGCATAAACTATATATTGATAGTACAATAGTGTCCTAGGTTAGAATCTTAGTGGAGGCATTGAAATGAATAAATGGTGACCTTTGTTAAAATACTTAAAATATCAGTGGTGATTTTTTACTTTCAAAATAATGTGCGACACAGGCACTTTATGCATGGTAAGTACATGTAAACTTTGTCGATATGATAAAATTCCATTTTGCTCATAATAATAGAGGCAATCATTTTCCCTCTTGCTTTAGAGCCGAAAGTGTTAATACTGAAGAAAAAATACAAAAGAAAAATATATGTATATATATATGAAAAAAAAAAACAAAAACAAAACAAAATAGAAAATCAAGTTCTTGTCATTCGTCATATTTTATCAACAGGATTTCCAACTAATTAAGACACATACTATGTAAATATATGGTGGATAAACAGAAAAAGATATGAACATTATGAGACAAGCGGCTCTACTCTGGTTATCACACCGATGTTGTAAATGGTTTCACTGACATATTTTCCGAATACGTTACCATTGCAATTGTATGTTAGAACATCAAAAAGGAATATATCATCTTTCCGCTGACGCTGACATGGTCGTCATTGAATATTAATATGACGAAGGAAACAGCAGTCGAAACAATTACTTGTGGCATCAAATATGGCGCGCTTTTGAACTTCCGGGGTCGTTCGTTTCGAACTGTTTTTAACGCTGTAGAATATGTTATGGTAAAAAAAATACTTTCATCTTTAAAATATCAATATTACAGGAAAACAATATCTTTTCTTAATCATGAATTACTGTTCAAGCAAATCATAAACTTAAGATCCATGAACAAATAATATCTCTGGCCAGAATCCTCCATTAATCCGTCGTCCGTGTGTAAATATCCAGAGAGGGGAGGCTACTCTAGTTGAAATCCCTCGCAGAATAACCATGGATGTTGGATGAAGATCAAAACTTTAGTTCCTGGGTTTTATATATTTTGATTTTATCATGGATCGGAAATCACAATACAAACACAAGGCTGATGATGTCCAGACAATCAGAGATCGGACAAGAAATGAGGAAGTTGGTAAGAAATAACACCAGAAGTATTTATCATTAAGAATATTATTTATGGTAAATTCATCTACAGATATGGACACAGGGGCTTATTCCCAGCCTGCGTCCATCCTATATCCTAATAAATAAAAGATTATAACTGTACACTTTAACGGTTCCATGTTTGCGAACTACTACAACACGAACATCTTGAACTCTCATACATATGTATATGCATTTATTCTTAATATCTAGGTCCACCAAGCCTAAAAGCAGTAAAATTGACACATGTATTTCTTCCATTTTCTTTTGACTTAACATCGAATGGCCCACCTTATTTTTTTACATCGACCACCACAGGAATCGGACGTTATATATGTGAAATATTAAAATACATATATATATGCAATATGGATCTCGTGTCTTATATTCCTGCTATTGTAGTATCCCATTTAGAATCATTTCTCTCTAGCTACGTTATGTCGATGATTTGCCACCAAAAATACATAAATTGATTGGAATTTGTTCATACTATGAGAGTTACTAAAGAAACTGATTGGTGAAACACCAGTATTTTTTTCAAAAAAAAATGTCTGCAGATCTGACTTCAAATTTGCATAGTGACTTGTTTGAATCGGAAATTTTTATAAGCAACCTAAAATATTCAAGTGTGAGATCACTCAGGTCAATAGTTCATGTGTTATGGCTCAACAAAATACATAACTGTCTGGAACTGACATTGAGACGATAGTAAAATAATAGCTATGTGTAGAATGTCCAATTCTTTTGCATTGACTGAAATTATCTAGAGAAATGGTCCATTCTATAAAACATGTTCTATTTCCCAACATTTCAGTAAATACCACCCCAACCTCACCCCTCCTTGCCTATGGTCAGCTCTGATAATATTCTTCAGTGGTCTACAATTTACACCAATGACTCACAAATAGGTCTAAGTCATTAAGTGCTTTTAAAAATTAAGCTGTTATATGGCATATTCAAAATGTAACGAACAAGTATATTTTTAGGCCTTACCAATGTATGTATCATGAGTAGAGAAGATCAATAAGATCGGGCAATCGTAGACTTCACAAATCCTAGGATGTTGCGAAAATGATGTATCAATTTTAAGTCATCGAAAACTAAAATATGATATATGTCTCCTATATATATATATATATATATATATATATATATCTATCTATACAGTATAATTATTATGAATTTCAATTCATAACTATTCAACATATTACATGTATAAAAAGATGTATGCTGCATTGTTAAATACATTTATACTGAATTTTCAAGTTTTTTCATTCACTTTTCAAAATTAAAAAACAAACAAACAAAAAAATGTGCGATATGTGTAAATGTAGAGGCGAAGACATTTTACAACTGGCATTGATTTTTTATTTATCTAATTTATTCAGTGACGATATCAGGAAATGTATTATCAACTAACCCAATTGATATGCATGCAGTTGCGTGTATCTGTCATAAAATTCATGCAATAATGCCAACCAAATGTTGATCTGTTAATTACGAAGCATTAAGGAAGGAGAAGAAGGACAAAGCTGTAAATGCCAAGAGATTCCGGTATATAACAGAGGCTGAGGCTGGAGTAGAAGTCACACAAGATGAGGTATGCATTATTTGCTGTCTTTATAGTTAGCTACCGTAATATAAGATCATGTGTATAGTATATAAGGGCAACTTCGCATAAGCAGTTGAAATGGTTGGACGAGTTGAACATGCAAGAAAAACACCAGGTACTGGACTGCAGAATATGATAAGGGCTATCAAGTTTGTTAAAATGTCAGTTAAACAGTTAAACCTACTGTCAAGGTCACAAGGGTTAAATGTGTTGAAATGCATAAACAACTTCTCAGTAAATAAAAGGCCAAGGTTCTTGATAACGGGCCTTGTTTTTCAACAAGCAATATGTCCATAGTAATGGCAATTGTGTATAAAGGATAAGATTTCATATTCACAGAAGATGTCTTTATGAACCAACCAATGTCTTTTATGTAAGCTGTAATGTAGTTGAGCAATTTATTTTAGGCCAATTTGGTTTCTTTCATATATAGGTCTTTATAGTAATATGACCCTGAATGCCCATGGGCCTCTTGTTTATGAAATTATAACTGTATTAAAAGACCCTGTTCTGCTTTTATGAGGTGAGGAATGCCACTTGTGGTCTCAAAAAACCTGGTGCACATCGACTGGAAAACCTGAAACTTTTAAAACATGCCTTCTCTCAGGGCACAGTGTACATCGATGTTTTCTTCAGGTAAATTAGATTTTATCCCTTTAAAGTACTTGCTTCTTATATTTTATAAATGTATCAATAGATTATCAGATAATAAAAATGTATCAATAGATTATCAGATAATAAAAATGTATCAATGGATTATCAGATAATAAAAATGTATCAATAGATTATCAGATAATAAAATTCCAGTGTTTGTTTAATAAAGGCATATTGAAAACACTAAACTAAGGACAAAAGTTGATCTTATGTATATATGGCACGCATGCTTTGTGGTTGTGTTCTATTGGGTTCCAAATCTTAAACCAGATGTCTAAAGGTGAGATATTTTCATCAGTGTATATTTATTCATGTCTGGCAATATAATTCTACTCACTTACACTGTTCTGTAAAATCACGTTCAAGAAATACTACTTTTTTGCCTTTATATGTATTAAGCCCACACTCACAAGGTGATAAAACAAGGGTGGATTGCTTTTCAGGTAAAAGTTCAAGCTCACTATTACAATTATTATAAAGAATTGCTTTCCACATATAACACATTATCTTGAATTCTCTTCAGTCAGTTGATCCACTCACTCAGTTAAAACGTTTTTTATTTGTTAAACAGAATCTGATTGAATGTGTACCCAGTACTATCTCTACCATAGTTTTACATGTATCACTATATATACTGGTCACAAGTCCTGAGCCATGATGGCTTAAGATGTCTGACAGTCATTTTCATTTGTCCTCCACCTCTGGGATGTAGGTTTGAGGCATGTAATATTGGGCAGACATCAGGTTTCAACCACAGGTTGCTGATTTTTCTCTGGGAACTCTAGCTTTCCTGAACCACCCAAACCTGGCCCGTCTTTAAGTGAACCTTAGGCAATAATAAACCATTACAAATCTTTAAAATGCAGATTGATGTAATAATTTACCAGCATATAACAGCATATGATGAGTATAACTTGTGTGTCATGTTCTAAAGTTCTACAACTATAATAAATGACTTTTTTAGATAGATAATTCATTGAGGTGGCTGTTTTGAATTTCACAGTATAGAAAACTCCTTGAGTTGGCTGGTGGGTCTATACACTGGACAGGATATTGAGCTACAACAGGAGGCAGCATGGTGTATAACTAACATATCGGCAGGTACCCACCAACATGCTGTCGCTGTTGCTAAATACATCGCACCTTACCTTGTGACTTACCTGAGCAGTGTTGTACCAGTAATACAGGTGAGCGTATATTATGAAATTAAATATACCACCCCACTTGGACTCAGTGCTATATCTAAATATCTAAATGTCTAAATATCTTTGCTTCATATTTACCATATAGTTCTACACTTTATTGTATGAAGTTGGTCACCTGCCAAGGTTGAAAGGTCAAAGGTCACATTTGAAAAGTTCAAGTTCATCTCACAATGAAAATTATATGCATGAGAGAGAGGAAATGCTTATCCTACCAACAATTTCTAATTTATGTTACTTTGTCAGGACCAGAGTGCATGGGCCCTAGGAAATTTAGCAGGGGATAGTAAAGAAAGTCGTAGCCTGATACACGCCCAGGGAGTTGTCTTCCCTCTTGTACAGCTTTTACAGGTACGTGTAAATCTTATTTAACTTCTACAATGTAAAACTGTATTTTAGCTTCTACAGGTAAATCTGTATTTTACCTTAAGTCAGACTACAGATCAATCTGTTTTGACGTCTACAGGTAAATTTATTTTGATTTTTACAGGTAAATCTGTATTTTACTTTAAGTCAGACTACAGATCAATCTGTTTTGACGTCTACAGGTAAATTTATTTTGATTTTTACAGGTAAATCTGTATTTTACTTTAAGTCAGACTACAGATCAATCTGTTTTGACGTCTACAGGTAAATTTATTTTGATTTTTACAGGTAAATCTGTATTTTACCTTAAGTCAGACTACAGATCAATCTGTTTTGACTTCTACAGGTAAATTTGTTTTGATTTCTACAAGTAAATCTGTATTTTGTAGCTTTTACAGGTAAATTTATTAGTTCTAACTCCTACAACTCACTTCCTCCATGAAGTATGATTAATCCAGTGAAAGATCACATTTCATTTACTCATTATGTCAAACCTTTCAGTTTTCGGAATTTGAAATGAAGAAAGAGAAAAAATGGGGAAATACTGCATAACAGCTTTTTTTCACCTCTGTCTTAATTTTGCCAGATGATTGTATGGCAAGGTCTGATTTTCTCAAGAGAATTCCAATTTTCCTTCACCACCCAAATCTGGCTAGAACATGACGCAACAATAAATAAATGTAATAACATTGCTAAAATTAGATATTGTGAGTATGTCATCAAGTGGCAACATTCACTTGTGGCAAAGTAGTCCTTTATACAGTAAATTTTCTTTACAATATGTCCTATATTTCAAAATAGTAGCATGGTGTGATTTTTTATTTTGAATTATCACTGCTATGTACCATTTTAACTTGTATACATGCAAGGTTTAGCAGTCACACAACCCAATAAATAGCTGTTGTAATCATTTTCAGTTTTCCACAAAAATTGTTATTTCTATGAAATCTAAAACCTGTATTTCCAGAGATTGAATTTCAGTTTTGAAAAAATCAAAATATTTCAACTTTCATTTTAGTCTCCTCATCCATCAGTTGTGCAGTCAGCTTCATTTGCCTTGTCCAATCTGGTGAAGGAATCACATGATATAGCAAGGTAAGGGGGATAACTGTACAATCATCTTGGGTCTTTTAAGTTATAGAGGTAAGAATTCTTCTGTTTACTATTGGCTTATAGTATAATTCTATAATCTTTTCTGGTATTCTTTTAATCTTTTCCAAAATACTTTCTGCACATTTTTTTAACTGGACACTATTTATGGTATGTCGTCCATGATCCATACATATTTCTATCATAAAATGTCTTTTGTTTGACGTTCTTTTTTTCAGCTTTCAGCTCTTTCAAACTTTATATTATCAATCAGCATGGCTTTTAAGTTTTGTTAGAACTTGAAAGCCTATATTATTATGACATCAAATTGTGTTTTGCTGAACAGCATTTTGATTAAAAAAATAAGAAGAAGAAAAAAAGAGTAATTTACCAAAACCCCTCCATTTCAGCATTTTAAACATATCTGGAGACTTCTTCCATAAACATAACAGGAATTTATGTTTATATTTACAACATCAGTATTCAACTGTATTGGGAAGAGAAGTTGCCTTAAGGGGTTATCTTAGCATTTTGTACTTGTCCTGAGATTTGTTTTACTGTTTACTGTTTTTACTGGCAATAAGCCCATGCAGGACAATAAGCCCATGACTTGCAATAAACTCATATATCTTTTGCTATTTTGAATTAATTCACACCCAGGATTTGAGTCTAAGGTACATAACTTGTCGTAGGATGAAGGAGAAGACCCAAACCTTGGGTGAACCATTGGACTACAACTAATAAAACCAGAGAAAACCAGTCTCTTGTTCGTTACAATTGATATCCTTATTTAGATTTGCCCAGATTTTCCTATCACCCTGTATACCTTGTGGTATACTGTATAGTACACAGGAAACTTGTACTAGATATTATGACATTTTTCTTTATCATTGATATTACAGTATTGTCATTGTTTGTACATTTTCTAATTGTCTGAAGCTAATTATAATACATTTATTTCCTGATGTAGGGAGGTTGTTAATGTAAAGGCATTGCCTTTGCTTCAAACATTACTAGTGAACACAGCAGAAAACCAAGGCATCTTGACTGAGGTATCCTGGGTACTGACCTATCTGGCTGCAAGGTATGACTCTCACTCAAATCATGGAGATTGTTCATGTAAATGAACAAAACTGTACTAAAAAGACAGTTTTTTTTTCAATTGATCATTAATTTACTAAGATATAAAAGATGTTTTTGGTAGAAATGAATTTAATGATTTATGGAATTCTATAGCTCTGTCATTTTCACGGTTTCTCGTTTTAACATCTTCAATCTTTAAAAAGAGCAATAAATAGAACACTCATCATTGGATTTTTCTTATATTTTATGATACATAGTATCATGTAAATACATTGTAAATATTTATATTACTGTTCACTGGTCTTTCTTAAAAGGTATTTATCGGTGAAGCAACCGGTAATGATACTATATTGAAAGCAGATAAAATTTTGTAGTAAAATTTACAATGGACCCTCGATAATCCATACAATTTTGGAAGGAAACAAAGTGTCTTGGTTATTGAGTATCTACAAGTTCTATAAACTTTCATTGTATACTGTATCCATTTGTAAAGCTTTATAAGTTTTCTTACAAGACTTGTTTCTATGGAGGCGGCCATGATAGCTTGGTCGGTTCGAGTGTTGACCTATGTTGTAACCTCAGGTGAAAATCCGAGGTGCATTGTTTTGCACTCTCTAAATGTGGCAGTTCATGTCCCTCAGGAAGCTGAGAAAGGGACAGTCTGTAACGATGTGGTTGAGTCTGTATTACTATGGATGTCATGCCACAGGCCACCTTTTGTTCAGTGAGGTTGTCACCAGCTACTACAAGGAGGCCCGGTCTTAAAATGACTCTGGCTCAGGGTTTTCCACAATTTTGTTAGTAGTAGGCTGTGTAGTGAAAGTAGGAGGCTGGCCTGCCGTGTACGTGTAGTCGTGTATGGAACATTATTACGGAACTGGATTGGTGTAGGCGGCCAAATGATCAAAGTAGCCGGTCAAATCGGCCGGCGACCAGCTCTTATGGAAAACCCTGCTGGCTGTTCATTTTTGGAATGATCCCAGCATACAAATAAAAAAGAAAGCATGTTAAAACAATGATGAGTGCTTACGAACTGATAAAAATTGAACTTAAGATTATGTTATGTCAACCTATATTAAAGATATATATGGGGGAGTTGGAAAATATTTGAATGAATTATCAATATATTTGATAGTATCAGTATATCAGTAATTATACTTGTAATTGATATAGCTGTATATTTGTAAAGTCAAATTTTTGCCTTTAATAAGTTAGTGGATACAGCAGGGGAAAAGTGTAAAGGAATATAGGAAAAACATTCTCCCAGGATTGTGTTTGCTTTACCATCAAATAATTAAAACCTACCTGGTAAATTGCTGGGTTTTCTTCCACCTTATTGAAAAAAGTTGAGATGGGCGAAACAGTCTTTCGGTATTTGTAGAATAGATCAAGGATGAATATTATTTTACCGGTAAATGCACACATGCATAAAGTCACACAGGAGTTATATAAAGGTTAAGATATCTGCAATTTGATCACATGTTTCTCCTGGTTGTTAAAGGAAATATGTGACCATTGGTCTTCTTTTGTTCACAGTCCAGAGTTTACTGAAGAAATGGTCAAACTGGGATTTCTGACACAGATTGTTGACATCCTCGTGCAACTGGTCTCCACAAATCCCCATGTATTCCAGGTATGCAATATAAGGCCCCCAGACTGCATGGGTTTGGTCACTTCCCCCAGACCACATGGGTTTGAGTCACTGGCCCCAGACCACATGGGTTTGAGTCACTGGCCCCATACCACATGGGTTTGAGTCACTGGCCCCAGACCACATGGGTTTGAGTCACTGGCCCCAGACCACATGGGTTTGAGTCACTGGCCCCAGACCACATGGGTTTGAGTCACTGGCCCCATACCACATGGGTTTGAGTCTCATGATCGTAATGATATATAGTTGTGCCCTTTCACTTTTCATTTAAACATGATCAAATGCTTCAGCTAATTATAGCCTATAATTTGACAAACATATAAGGTCTTCCAAAACCATAACCATGGAATCTCTTTGCAGGCTTCTGATAGGTCAGAATTTCTGATTCTCTGATTTAGCTGAAATTGTCATTAGAAGGTTTAGGGGGTGACAAATACAATGATACCATTTTTGGGGGAGAAATTGTTTCCTCATGGTTGCCATGGTGACCAAATGAAGATTTCTTGCATAACCCCTCCAAAACTATTGTCGATTTAGGACGAGGGAGGACATCCTGGCGACACCTCTAGTTCACTATTTCTTTACAATATTGAATTGAATAGATACAGACAAGCATGTCAAGACAAGGAAATTTTAGTTCAGATTTACTCAATATTACAGATAGTAACGCCATTGCTTCGTTGCCTTGGAAACCTGTGCAGTGGTCCAGATGAGTATACACAAATGGCATGCACAAACTCATCTCTCCTCCAGAGTCTGGCTGCCTATCTCTCCTCGAGTCATCGACATATCCGTAAGGAAACACTCTGGGTACTTTCAAATATGGCAGGTGAGATGATTGAAGACAGTGACTTCTAAACATTGGGATTTAATACTACACAAACATGTTTATATTTTCTTCAAAAAAATTCTCTCACACTCAAATTACTGTATGTAACCAGGAAATCCTTAACTCAAATAACATAGGTAAATGAAATGATGGTTGATAAAATCTTTACTGAAAAGTCAAGGGTGGTCTTATTACCAATCATGGTTTATTGTCAAATGAAAATAATTGTACATTTTTAAAAAGAATTCCTTCATATACTTATACATTCAATCCATTTTTAAAATCTTGTAAAATAGGAATTGCATTAGTTACCTTATTGCACTGATCTGTAATGTAAACCTGAAACTATCGATGTACAAATGTCATGTTTAAATGCCCCAGTGTGAAACTGCATATATTATACTTATATGGGGCTTTCTGTATCTTGTGTGTTGTATCAACGTCTGTAGTTGAGGTCCACATTTTAAATCACATACCCACATATTGTATTTTACCAGTTATAGGGGCCTTGCTTTGGAATTATAACTTTCACCATTTCAATGATAAATTATACATTAAGATGTGATGTCTGTAGTTAATGTACCTTAACATGCCTCTTTTCCAAATACCTTATACCTTACAATATCTTTAGCATCAGGGAAGTTTGCACTGCCAAATGATTTTTACCTATTTTAGCACCCTACCGTAACCTACTTGCCTAAAATGGTGGCAAAGTTCAGAAAATACGCATGTATTTGACGCTGTTGTAAAATTGTCTGATGTATAAAAATTGCGAAATTTATCTAATTATGGGAATACTTCACCTCCCCCGTCTAAATTTTGACTTTTGTTTCGATCACTTTGGATTTTCCTTAATCACCTCCTAGATTTCAAATTTTAGGCTCTTAGCATCACTGATGAATCCTAGAAGGACAAAACAGCTGTGTGATGCAGTATAATTCATTGTTTGACTCTACTGTATCTCACTCTAAATTATGACAAATTGCTTTTCACTTATGTGTCTTTGTTAACAATCCTTAGCATAAATTTCCCTCACAGAGTAGGTGGTGTATCTGTTATTTGTGTGATATTTCTATTTTACCCAGGGGAACCCCATACCTGTCACACATTGGCCTTTGGGCCCCTCCTTCCAGTGATTCTAGATCAGGTCCCTGGAGCCTATGACATCAAAATGGAGGTAAGGTTTTTGCCTTGTCAACAAAGTACCAATCAATTTCTGGTACTCAACATATTTGAAAGAAATTCTGTTGATAAATGACATCAAGTCATTTAACAATGCCTGCTGAAAAAGGTATGATCTTATCTGTTTTTCACACTTCATCTCATCAGCCTGGTCTGCCTTTTTTTTCCAAATGACTAATTTTGAAGAAGCAGTCAGCGTAGGGTCATGATACTTGGCTTGTAGGTTTCTGGGATGAAGCCGAACAAAGTTTACAAAAGAAATATTCAATGTCAAAGAGCATTGATGTCAGAGGTCAAGGTCATTGTTCTTTATAGCTAAATTTCTATCCAACCCAAAGACACAGAGTTTTGTTTAGGGGCTTCACTCTTAGAATTTATTACTTGATTTTCTTAAAAACAATGCACAGGATATGTTACTTAGAATAGAAGTGATTTGTTTTGGAGTGTTGGGGTCATATAGATGTTTTATTGACATAGAATGTATGCTTAAATTTCTGTAAAAGTCTTACAATTGTAGTGAGCGATACTGAAGTTCCTACAGTAAATAAACAAAACATTTGTTCTGGTATCCTTGTGTAACTAATTGAAAATAAGGGTTGGATTTGGCACAACTTTTTGAAAACCCAACCAGTATTTCTTTTTAATATAAATATAAATAATCTTATACAGAAATATCTCTATTTAAAACAGTATTACTTCTTGTGTTAAGTTCCTTAAAATTGTTGAAAATAGAATGTGAAATTTGAATAATTCTTAATTATGAATTCCAATCACATAATCTAGAATGCTTTGTGAACACTTTTTTGTGAAGACAAATGAATATATACTATTTGGTACTGTTACTTATGATTATACTTAATCTGGTCCTGACAGTTTCCTTTACTTTTCAGGCTTTGTATCTGCTGTGTAATATTGCCTGTCATGGCGAGGAACTCTGTTTACAGTTGTTAAATAACGGAATTCTCCAGAAGGTGGCGCCAGTGTTGAAGTCACATGATGTGGAAATTCTGAACCTGGGAATAGCGCTGATTGAAATGATTTTGCGAATGACTGAAGAGGTAGGTTGCAAAATACTGATATTATAACCAGAAAACAATATTTGGAAGTTTGCATAACATTAAATCATTGTATTGGATGACACAGGACTTCAGGAAAGTCAACTTTCAATGACATTTACCGTAAATGTGCATATTTTGGCTATAATGTAATTTTAGCTCAGCAACAGTTTTGAATAAATAAGCATAATAATGAATTCAGGCATTCACAGTTATTGTTATATATACAAAAACATCCAATTAGCAAAACCATATTTTAGTACTATATATTAAGATTGAAAATCGCCAAAACAATATTTCTGCCAAAATATATAGGTTTACTTTAAAACAGATATATTAAATAATGCAATGCAGATTTATTGTCAGTTCACGAAAACAAAAAAAACTTGAAGCTTTTAAGTACATGAAATGTGTGTGTATGCATAATGAAAGCTGATTTTTTAAAATGAGTAAAAGAAAATTTTTAAAAATGTTTGTGTATGTAAATAAAAATTGATTTAATCATTAAAGAAATACACAAAAATTGATGAATGCTTTCTTTCAAGGGAAAGAAGATATTGGAGGAATGTGGAGGATTGGAGGGACTAGAAACCCTGGAGTACCACAACAACACACAGATAAGAGAAGAAGCTTGTAATCTACTGGAGACCTACTTCTACACAGAATAATGGCAGGTGACTATCTGGGGTGTTTGGGCTAGACTCAACTAAATTCATTTCAAATACAAAATCAAAATTATACACAGATAAAAGGCTGTTTATTACTAGTGTTAATTTATTGTAACCTATACTTACCTATGGTAATATATAAATAGCTGTCTTAAATATACTATATACAACTGTACCTGGCAGATGGTACTCAAATTAGGCTGACTGTAATTTCTGTATGTACTACCTGTTAATAGGAACCAGTAGATAACCGTAAAATACTGTTCTATAGGTCCTAGACTGTATTTTGGGTGATCAGCAAAGACAGCCAACATATATCAAAGCTAATATGGCCTTTGGATATAGAAATTGATTAATTACAAGTTGATAAAATTTAAATTTAACAAAAGTAATCACATGTAGTGTATTCTTAATAGATTCTGTATAAATCACATTTGTGTCATGTCTAAATGATTTCAAAACAAAAATCAGTATAGTTTGATAATTCTGACAATACTACCTTAGATTTTATTGTTATTATCTGTCAGAGAAGGGATGTAGTACTTAATATAGATATCATTATGATTGTCAAATGAATTTGATATTAAAAGTTGCATTCTGTTAAGTTACTTTGTAAGGTTTCAACATTTACATGATTTTATTGTTATAATTAACAAAAAAAAAAAAAAAACAAAAAAGGGTACTTCCATTCAAACTTCCATTTGCTGTTAATGAAATTTCAAAATTTACTCCTCACTGGCTGCAAATAAGACACTGTGTATTTTCTTTACAGACAGAACATGGATGGAGATGGATCTGTAAGGAAATTTATTGGACAAATGTACCTGTCTGTACATGAGAATGCAGTAAGATGAAACGTGACTCAAACTGTAGTGTTAACATTTGGGAAATCAGATGCTTCTGATGATGAGGACAGTGCGAGCTTAGACACTGACTGTATCAGAAATCAGATGCTTCTGATGATGAGGACAGTACGAGCTTGGACACTGACTGTATCAGAAATCAGATGCTTCTGATGATGAGGACAGTGCGAGCTTGGACACTGACTGTATCAGAAATCAGATGCTTCTGATGATGAGGACAGTGCGAGCTTAGACACTGACTGTATCAGAAATCAGATGCTTCTGATGATGAGGACAGTATGAGCTTGGACACTGACTGTATCAGAAATCAGATGCTTCTGATGATGAGGACAGTGCGAGCTTGGACACTGACTGTATCAGAAATCAGATGCTTCTGATGATGAGGACAGTGCGAGCTTGGACACTGACTGTATCAGAAATCAGATGCTTCTGATGATGAGGACAGTGCGAGCTTAGACACTGACTGTATCAGAAATCAGCTGCTTCTGATGATGAGGACAGTGCGAGCTTAGACACTGACTGTATCAGAAATCAGATGCTTCTGATGATGAGGACAGTGCGAGCTTAGACACTGACTGTATCAGAAATCAGATGCTTCTGATGATGAGGACAGTGCGAGCTTAGACACTGACTGTATCAGAAATCAGCTGCTTCTGATGATGAGGACAGTGCGAGCTTAGACACTGACTGTATCAGAAATCAGATGCTTCTGATGATGAGGACAGTGCGAGCTTAGACACTGACTGTATCAGAAATCAGATGCTTCTGATGATGAGGACAGTGCGAGCTTGGACACTGACTGTATCAGAAATCAGATGCTTCTGATGATGAGGACAGTGCGAGCTTGGACACTGACTGTATCAGAAATCAGATGCTTCTGATGATGAGGACAGTGCAAGCTTAGACACTGACTGTATCAGAAATCAGATGCTTCTGATGATGAGGACAGTACGAGCTTGGACACTGACTGTATCAGAAATCAGATGTTTTAGATAATGAGGACAGTGTGAGCTAGGACACTGACTGTATCACTGTATCAGAAATCAGATGCTGAAGATAATGAGGACAGTGTGAGCTAGGACACTGACTGTATCACTGTATCAGAAATCACATGTTTTAGATAATGAGGACAGTGTGAGCTAGGACACTGACTGTATCACTGTATCAGAAATCAGATGCTGAAGATAATGAGGACAGTGGGAGATAGGACACTGACTGTATCACTGTATCAGAAATCACATGTTTTAGATAATGAGGACAGTGTGAGCTAGGACACTGACTGTATCACTGTATCAGAAATCAGATGCTGAAGATAATGAGGACAGTGGGAGATAGGACACTGACTGTATCTCTGTATATCACATACATACCAAACAACATTCAGTGTATAATGACAAATCTCTATTTGGTCATTCCTGTTTCTTTTCCAACGGTTTTATAGGGACAGTTAAGTAATAGGTCTCGTTTTTATCTGTAAATATGGGGAAGGATCCTCAACTTTGTTAAAATTTGAAGACTGGAGGATATGATTAATTTTAAAGGATTCAGATTGGCTGGCAACAAAGTGCCTCTTTGATTCAAATTTATCTAACCACTCCGATGACATCAATTCAAGTATATTGATCATAATTATTTCATTTTTCTTTTCATGAATTACATTTTCTGTGAAATTGTGTATTTCAATAGGGACAGTGTTAATGAGTTAATTGTTTGAGTTCATATATCTGGACGTCTCAGGAATTCCTATTTCATTTTTAATCAACATGAAAATCTCTTTAGAAAATTAAAGTATTTATATCTCCCAAGGCAAATGTTGTGCAAGACATTTTATTTTATCAGGATATATTGACCTGAAGTTGTCATGAACATGTAGTTACAAGTAGTAGGACCCTTCATGTCTTCGAGAAAAAAATCATCCTTATGTATTGGGGAAACTCGAGGTCAACCTTGTCATAGTATGTAGTTACACTTGTGTTTTTTCTTATTTTAAATGTATCATGATGTAACACATTATATTTTTAATTTTACAAAAAAATTGGACGATGTAAATTTCTTGAATAAACTGCTGTGATGGTTTATAAAACAGTATATTATTTTGGTGAAATGTTTAGATACTTATGAATTTAGTATTCCTTGTTCAATTTGCTAGAGTGTATATATAATGTTACAAAATTGAGGTGGAATTAAATCTGGGAGAGAACAAATTGATGACTTTCACAGTCCTTATCTAAAACTATCATCAGAAGTGAAAATCCAACAAAACTAAGGAATGGCACTATACAAGGTTTTCCCAGTATGAAAAAATGATAAAGCCTGACATGATGTCAACCAATTTCACTGAAAACTGGCTATTTGAATTATTGAGAAAATGCTTGTTTAAAAAAGGTATTTGAAAAATGAGAGAAACTCTTAAAGTGAATCTTTGATGAACATATATGTTTTAATGTGTGTCATTACTTTAAATATCATTATGATAGCTAAAAATATACATCTGAATCTTGGAAAATATAAATAGATAAAATTATGTAAAAGCTACAAGTTTGTAAGTAAGTCATAATCTCATAGATCTCAATATCTAGCAGATCTCATGATGCACAAAAATAATTTTTACAGTTCAAAATGTTTTTTGGGTGACAGAATACCATAACAATAGATGTAGAAATAGATGTGAAACATTATATAACTTTCATAAATGAATATTTTACTGTTTTTGTGTGGTCATGACAATTGGCAATAAAATAATACAGTTGGCAATCCCAGAATAAAATAAAAATTTAAGATGGGTTACCAGTAAAGACATTTTCCCACTTACATTTTACCTCATATCTGATACAGACTGTTGCTATAACTACATGGTTCTATATATAAATTAGAGGATAGCTCAGTCTGAAAACTACAGAAATTCTGCAGTCAAGGTCGTAGCTAACGGGGATGTGCCACTAGATCATATGGTAGGGGAGTCAGCGTTAAGGCCTGGATGCCTTCCATTGATGGTTTAGGGGAGTTTGGAGGTGTGCTGAACTGGAACTTCTGGAGCAAATTTGTGAAGAACAAGAACAGCTCCATCCTGGCTAAAGGTTCTCCTATACAGAGACGAGGACCTAAATAAGCAGAGGGGAAAAGTGAATTTAGTAAAAGACACGTTCAGTATTTGTTGGCAATTGAAGTTCACAACCCCCAATCCCACACCTCCGTCCTTAGTAAGCATCATATACTGGTAATATCATACTGTGTAATAATTCCACATATGAAAGGGTGTATATCTGTACATAAAATGAGTTGACCAAGAGAAATACTAGTAATAAGAATTGAAATAATTGATTTTCATATTTTAACAGAACACAAAAATCACATGGTCAAATCATGTAAACTCTATTCGTTGATTTTTTTTTCTCTCATTTGATATGCAGATTACATTACCATTTTCTGTTAATTAGGTCTAATAATACACATCAATCAGAGATAAGCTTACCTAAAGAAAATGGAACAAAACCATCTCTCCGCTTAAGACTGCCGTTGTCATTGAGAAAGCGTTCTGGAGAGAACTTGTGCGGTGTGTCCCAGTATTTAGGGTCTATGTGGGCGGAGTACAGATTGGCTATGATAATGGCATCCTTGGGAATGGTGTAGCCTCTAAGCTCACTTGTATGTTTGGCTACATGTGGCAAAGAGAAGGTCACTGGAATATAAAATCACAGTTTAAAATTATTTTTAGAAAATGGGAATTTGTCAAGAGATCTGGTGTAAGAATCCTTTCAAATTGTTGCTATGTTTGTTGAGGTCACAGCTATAACATATTTCAATAGAGATAGTAGTTTGTGAAGGGAAACAGTGTAAATTGTTGTTGTATGTCACAAAACAATATTGATCCAAAACATGTATTGCTCTCTTAAATTGAAAATACTTAACATGTACATGTATATGGTTAAACGAGTCAGGTGGTATAAAGTTACCAGTGAGGTAAAACTACCAGACATGAAGGTGATTAAACTTCCAGTAAAGTATATTGTAAAACTACCATACGGTTAAGTTTACCTTACATTCTTTAAACGTGAGAGACAAACTTACATGTATTTCCTATTCTCTGTACCTCTAGAAGAGTGGCTTCCAGGTAAGGCAAGGTCCCTCTGTCAGCAAGGCCCACAGGGCGGCCCTTTCCGATCACCTAGAAATAATCAGGGAACTAAAACCAGCTGGTACTTTTGGTATTACTCTCTAAATTGGTTGTTGGGATCCAGTGACAGAAAATGGCATGTCTTTGTTAAGATAGTTGAGCGGTTGATGGCCAACTTGGGTTAATCCCATGAACCTCAAAATGTTCCATGCACAAAAAAGTAACTATATTTAAGTTGTTTGTTTTGTAACAAGGGGATTTATGCAGTTTTTCTTCAGAGCTACCGGAAACGAACGAAATGTATCAACACAAAAAGTTTAAAGGCTGGTGGCCATCTTGAATATCCAGTGAAACTCAAAATATGGCATGCAAAAATAGCATGAATACAGATCATGCTCATCAATGTGTCTAGAGAATATCACCACAAAGTCATCACAGAAACAAATATCAAATGTCAACATTTAAAATGGCGGCTTGCATCCATCTTGAATACCAGATAAAACTCAAAATGTGGCTAGCATAATTACGACCAATATTGAACATTAAAAAAATCTCAGAAATATCAATCTCAACGTCAAAATCTGAAAATCTTAAATATTTAATCAAACTAACTTATTTGCCCAAATATTTGATACATTGATCACTGCTTGTGACTTGTAAAGTTGGAGTGGGAAGGGGTGATAACCATTCATCGTAAAATGCTTGTGGTCAAATATCACTTTTGGCCTTTCGGTTAATTTGCAGAGGAGATTTTATGATTTTAAAACTGATAGCCTTGAGTCAAGATATTATGTTGAATGGTCTTTTTTAGTGTTAAATGAACAAATTCGAATTTAAATTGCATTAAAAAGGTCAGATGTGTTGAAATTTGAAAAGTCGAGGTTATATATCAAACCCTAATATATCTTTCACTCAACAAGCTTTTGATATTGAAATTACTTTTCTATGTGCAACCGTTTCTACATATGTATATTGAATATGATAAAATATTCATTTTTTTTTTGTAGGCATTTAAGTCACGTGATGAAAACTTCAAATGAATTAAGTCTATATTTAGTAAACTACGATAAGTCAAATAAACGTATGTTAATCTGGCGTTTTAGTATGATAAAGAAGTACATCATTTTAAACAGACACATCATGTATGTACCTGGTCTAATTCTGCCTGACATTGTGCCTGTACGTCTGGGTAGGCGATCATATACAGAAGGCACCAGTCCAAACTGGTACCTGTCGTCTCGCCTCCCGCCAGAAATAGGTCCACAATTATCTTATAAATATTCGATTCTACAATATAATTAATATTTAATTCAACATATTGAGAAAAAAGACATTCCGAATTTTCACAGAAGAAAGTGAAAGTGAGAAACAACGTGCTGGTAGCTTTTAAAAATTAGGCAGTTTTCATATGTATCAATTATATTGTATTATGGTTTCGTGAGGTGATATTTTTGCGTTAACTTATACGAATGTGAATTTCCCAACACGAAAAATAGTCTTTTTTTACAGTAAATCAACATACACTGTAGTTATTATTTTGAAAACATTAGTATACTATTAGTAATTAAACTATAAGGGTAATGCTACCTTTATAGATAGACGTACGCCTACAAACTTGAAGTGTTCGTGTACACAAGCAGCTGAATTGGTGTCCATTGTAAAAACATGTAAGTATAAGACTTATCATGTTTATTTTTCAATTTTATTATGATATTTTCAAGAAAAAATGGAGAAACTAATTGAAGCTTACCTGTGTAAATATCTGGGTCAGACTTATCCTCGCACACCTGTAGGTACAGGTCTATAAAATCTCGGATATTGTTGCTGTCAAACGTCTTCCTGTGTTCTGTGATGGTTCTAGATAGGTAAGATTTTACCTTCTCTATAGCCGCTCTCCGTTTAGATATCAACTGGAGTGTAATGATAAGTAATAATGGTATTTAACCATGTGACCGTGACCAAAATACATGTACACCGAAAACTTTTTTTTTTTTTTTTTTTTTGAGAACTTATCTCGGATGTTTCAGTAAACACTTACATTATTTATCAACTTAACTTTAATCTTTTAAATGTGAATCACATAAACATAGTCCTAAGTTCTGCACTGACATAGTCCCAACTTTTGTACTAACAAGTCCAAAGTTCTAGAGTAACAAGATCCCAAGTTCTGGACAAACAAGATACCAAGTTATGGACTGACAAGGTTCCAAGTTCTGGACTAACATAGTCCCAAATTTTGTACTAACAAGGTCTCAAGTTTTGGATTAAACGACTGAACCCCACTTTTGACTAAAACGAGGTTGCATATTAAGCCTCGTTTCGAAAACGAATCTTTTTTTTCTAAATCTACAATGGCGTATATTGTACTCATTAAAGTTTGATTAACTACCCCCCTTGCAGTTTGGAATGACATGGTCCAAAAGTACACCTCGCCCCATTGTACACCCATTTAAACCACTGAGGACCAGTGTACAACCCATTTGCCTTTGATTATTGAGGTCCCATTGTACACCCATTGGACTGGTCGTGGAATTTTGTTGACCTGATGTATAAACCTACTTATTAACCTTTCACGTTGAACTAAAGAGGTCTCATTTCAGTTACATATACCTGGCGACCAGAAGGAAACCATCTTGTTATGGAGAAAAAGTTTTCCTTCGCAAAAGGTGCGTTGAGTTTGAAGATTTCCTCCAGAACGCCTGTTAGTTGTGTGAACCTGTCCTCATCATATTGAAACCTGTAACAGGGGCGAAAGAATAGTTTGATTAACGCTAAGTTTCCATGGAGCATGAATACAATAACATAGTTTATACAATACTACCTTGAACTGAGTGGAGTAAGTTATAGAGAAATGGCAATGGTCACACTAGTCGATACGTATGTACAGTGTAGTAATCATACATGTACATCTGCATCTACCTTTAATTTGGAAACATCTTTGACTTCTATGTCCTCACCGAGCTTTAAAGGAATATTCAATGATAAAGCAAGTTTTATTTATTCATTAAATATGGCTGTTAAACTATATACAAGTATATCAAATCTGGTCTATGTACACTGTGTACACTGGATATAGGTACTAAGGAACCGGAACCGGAACAAGATACAGGTAGGTTCTGTAACGATTTGCAGTATTTGATATATTTACACCATATGTAGCTATTTTCCCTTTCAAACTTATTATCTATTGCATATGTGATATATAGTTGATTCTTAGGCCACGCGTATAATTTTTCTCTCGAAAAATATGGGTGGTTTAATTATCTATATATTCTTAAATATACTTAATTCAAAACTCCAATATGAATAATAGTACCCACCTTTCCCCAAACATCACACTGCAGATGATGTTAGTTGCCGCTGACAGAAGGCACGGTTTCATCCGAACTGGTTTCCCATTGGATGAAACCAATGTTTCCATGACGACCGCAATTTCCTCTTGGATTTTCTCTTCTAAGGATTTCTTGCCGACACCAAAGTCTCGGAGGGTCTGAAGCGTGAATCTTCTCAGAGTTTTCCATGGCTGTCCACTGTTATATGTTAAACCTAAACAGAAACGTTACCTTGTAATGTCGTCATTTGTAGATTAGTATATTAAAAAAAAAGAAAAGAAAAGAAAAACGATATTTTGATGGTGTTTGTAAGGCACGGTGGAACATAAGACGATTAACTTTACATCGAAGTGTTGTTGTATAGCTCAAGATGGATTATTATATAAAACGAAGTCGGTTTGTTGAAATTTTATGTTTATTTTTTTATTATTATTTATTTATTAGGATAGGCGCACATGAAGAAGTGAATCAACAAAATTTAATGGAAGTCGCGAGCAGATACTCATGCGAAATAAATATGTATGAAATGTGCAATATATAAAAGACGCTCAGCACCTAAAATATTGATAATATCACATTTGATAAGACAAATGATATAAATGCTAAACGTAATTGTCCGATGATCACAGCTGCAGCATCAGTGAAATAATCTAATTATGTTTACATTATATGAAAATGTTACACCAACATGTCAACCACCGCATGTCCGATAGACATAACATACCGTATTTGCGTATACTCGTAGATTTCGACTTATGGTGTCAATATACTATTCAAACCAGGAAATATAGATAAATGTATATACAATGTTGCTCTTTCTCACTTAAGATTCCACGGTTCAATATTCTCCATTAAAATTATTTGGTAAAAATTCTGTTTACTGAACTTAAAATCGTTAGAGTCGGTATAGGCATATAGCAAAGTCAACTGATAATGTCACGATAGCGTTTTACTCTCCCTAACAAATACGTACGGTATCACATGTATAAAGGCGGAATGTTTTCTCTCAGATCGTAAGTTTGCATAATCACAATGAATAATTACAACAATAAACAAGTTACCTGTTCCTCTGGAGACGCCGACCAGGGGCACAAACAGCTGTGGTCTATCCGTGAACACGTCTGCTTTCTTCACGAACGCTTCGTGTATGGCGTCATAGCCGTTCACAATTATGATGACTGTTGTACCACAATACAACGTATAAACATCGCCATATGTTTCGGCCAATTTGGTCAGCTCCAGGTAACCTTTAGGGTCCTTCTTGAATAAAATATCATTTCCAAAAATCGGTCTTGGTTTTGGACCCGGTGGCAAATTTCTAGATTTGGAGAAGAATTTCATAAACGTCATATATGTTAAAAATCCAATGACAACGCCGATGAGAATAAAAGTAAGCATCTTGTCCGAGGCCAAGGTACATGTAATGTTGCTCCAGTAAATCTCTAATATTGTTCTACTATTAATCCTTTTCCTATCTCTCCTTATATTGTTTGCCGTTCAATCTGTGATATTTGGCATAAGTTTCAAATATGCAATATGTCTCACAATCGAAACCTGTTTTCCCTCAGTCAGCCCTCGATGTGATCTCGTTAGCATAAACTGCTTTCCTGGCCGCCTCTCCGATATTATAAACCCACCGTCGCGTGTGCAGTCATCTAGATCTGGTCTTATCTCCACAACGAAACGCTGTCTTAAACCTGTATACGTCTATCAGATTACCAAGTGTCGAGTTGTAAACTTTATTTGCCCCTTTGTAAACGATAGTACATTGTAAGTAAAGTAGGTCAAATTCTTGCGTGTATTCTACTATAACCCGCACGCACGTGGTATGCCGTTGCGTAATATTTACATATACCACCTGTATATATAATTTTTTATTTTCATTTTTAAACATAACTTGTAAATGGCAAATTTATATTTTCAAATATATACATGTACGTGAACTTTCACACACGTGACATACACAATTGTATCGCCGTATTCCAAGTCTTCAAACCCAATATGCTTTCACTTTCTCCACTCGTGGAACATTATGTCGTGACAAAATCGAAGGCAAGTGGACAAATGTTTTTTTTATTTAATTCCTATTGTTACAACTGGGTATTTTTCTTTGAAACGAGTACAAAGACTTTACACCTGTAGTGTTTAGATGTAGAGTAATGGGAAATAACTCTGATTGTCTTATGTGTGGAGTTATCGTTCTTGTGAAACATCCGGGCATTATTATTAAAACAGGCGGCCATTTGAACGAGACCAGTTTTGTGTTATGATTCAATTCGGGCTCTGATTCAATTCGACACGACAATCTGGCGACGAGGATATTGCGAATACGTTAGTAAATGTATCAAGAACTGGTGTATGTAAGAAATACGAACTGTCATTTGTGAAAATGTCTTCGATCGACCTGAATGGTATTGAGCCGTTCAACGCACATGGTGACCCAGGTCATTTACAGCAGGAATGGAAGCGATGGCTTCGTAGTTTCGATTTATTTGCCACTGGCAAGGGTGTAACAGACAAGAAACAGTTGAAAGCGTTATTACTACACTGTGCAGGTGTACCAGTTCAAGACATCTATTTCACGCTAACAGAGGCGGAGGGAGGTGATGAGTATGCTGTAGCGGTAGCCACACTGAGTAAACATTTTGAAACAAAAATAAACGTGCCATACGAACGGTATGTATTTCGGTCAATGTGTCAGGAAGACGAGTCTATCGAACAATTCATCACCAGACTCAGAAGACAAGCAGTTCTTTGTGAATTTGGGAACATTGAGGAACAAATAAGGGATCAAATAATAGAAAATGTAAATCTCATAAACTTAGAACCAAATGTCTGGAAAAGGGGAAGGAATTGACACTTGATCAATTACGCACAATCGCGGCTACAATGGAAATGGCAGATGTCCAGGCTAAGAAAATGGAGTCTCCTCTAAGCTCAGTCAATCAGATAAACTTTGTGAAACAAAAGGACACAAAACGGTCAACAAGTAGTAGCACAAAGGCTTTATGTTTTCGATGTGGACGTGAAGGTCATTTCGCGAAAGATTCAGGCTGTCCAGCGAAAAACAAAAAGTGCAATAAGTGTGGTAAGATGGGGCATTTTCGTGCATGCTGTAAAACAAAGGAACCACGTTGCCTAAAGGCAGAGAGGTCAACATTGTCAAAGGTCAAAGGTAAAGTGAACTGTGTAGAGTCAGAGGCAGAGTATGCATTTAGTGTACAACACACAGATGCAGACAGACTTTCGTTCATGGTTGGTGGTCACAAAGTTGATATGGTTGTGGATAGTGGAGCGACAGTCAATATCATTGACAAGCCTACATGGGAGGACTTAAAGAAAAGAAAGATTGTGTGTCGTTCAGAGAAAACTGACAAACGGCTGTATTCATATGGAGCAGATAAACCTTTATCGTTACTTGGCAAATTTATTACTACGGTGTCTGTTGACGGAAGTGATGATGAAATTGAGGCTGCCTTTTATGTACTTGATGGCACAGGTTCGGCTTTATTAGGGAGGGCTACGGCAGTAGATCTCGGAGTGCTGAAAATTGGAGTCTACTCAGTCCATGATGATATATTGGATAAGTACAAGTCATGTTTTGGAGGAATTGGGAAGCTGAATGACTTCAAATTGAAGCTTCATATTGATCCATCTGTAAAACCGGTGGCACAACCTATGTATAGGATTCCTTACAGTCTACGAGAGAAAGTCGGTGCTAAACTTGATGAACTTGAGGATCAGGACATTATCGAGAAGGTGAATGACCCAACCCCGTGGGTTAGCCCGGTAATAGTTGTCCCAAAACCTAATGGCGATATCAGGATATGTGTGGATATGAGACAGGCTAATCAAGCTATAGTCCGTGAGAGACACCCAATACCCACTGTGGACGAGATACTGTACAATATGAATGGGAGTACAGTGTTCAGCAAATTAGATATGAAGTATGGATATCACCAGATAGAATTAGAAGATTCATCAAGGGAGATAACTACATTTGTGACGCATCAAGGATTATACAGGTATAAGCGGCTGATGTTTGGTATCAGTTCAGCACCAGAGAAGTATCAACAAATCATATCACAGACATTTCATGATTGTGAAGGGGTT